GTTCGGCAATTTCTAAATATTTTTATTTAGAAATTATTCGAACTCTGCTGTAGAAAATATATTGAGAGAAATATGTTGTTTACTTATTTACTTATTTTAAATATTAAAGGAATATGTTATATATTTTAAATATGAGTATTGTAATATTCTTTGTACCTCGAACATGTTATTTTATAAATGAATTGATATTAACAATAATACAATTATTTTAATATCACCAGGAAATGCTACAAAATCTATAATATAATATAACTTCTCATTATAATGTTTTACTTCTCATCTTTTCATTAAAGACTGTGACATTTCTTAGACATCCCCTTAATCGTTAAATTACACATATATATTTATCTTAATTTATTTTATACTATTTCTGAATTCGTCTTATGTTCCTTTATTAATAACATTTAAATTTCGTAAAATTTAATTTCAAATAATAAACCAATTTTATTACTCCCTAAAAAAAGACCACCCTCTGAATGTACGCTCAGTAACACCTTGACTAGTTTCACCAAAAACCAGCGCGTTATTAAGAACCTACAATAATGAGATCTCAAGCTAAGCCTATAAATTACCAAGACTAATTTTTCAACGCAGAGAATTGCCCGCGCTTACGCAATCGCACGCGTAAAAGGTAAAGACACTTCTAAACGACCCAAGCTTCTTGAAAAGGTTTCATATTCAATCACGATTGCGATATCCTCTCGCAATTTCGTGTATCGCAAGGAGGCTTAATCATCTTCCGGAAGAAGTTAAGGACTCGTTACCAGGAACACTATCGCGCAAGTGACACATGATTAATTCGAGCAACCATGACGCGGCCAGTCTTGGCTCGTGTTTACCATATAGCTAAAACATAAATAATGATCTTGCGTTTCTAATCCCGCACGGTATTCAAGCACGTAGTTGCAGATAAATAAATAACTGGTCTCGTTACAAAGCCCAGGGATCAGCTGGAGGCTGACTATGACGCTACTTTAATCATGACTAATATCGATCATCTTTTAAAACGATAAACTGGACGTCGGTTCCTTTATTAGCTTAACAGTTCAATTATCTTTCTGGCTTTTGTTAAATCGGTAACGAAGTACGATAAGAACATCGGGAGATGGAGTAGATTAAGTTTTTTAGAATATGTCCCTGCAAAATAAACATTCCAGGATCTGTAAATGATTAATCGTGTAACGTTGGCGTTGCGAAAGTCACACTGATGATAAGAATCTGAGTGTGCTATTGGAAAAAGTAATTGAAAATATGTATACGAGTATTACTTTGCGATTGTATCGTTACCTTTGGAAATACTAAAATAAATATTGATTTTAATCAGTTTTTATATTAAAATAAGTACTGATCGTATTTTAATTAACTATATTTTCATACACGTTTTAAATTGGTTATGTTTCATTTTTTAAAAAAGAGAAATAGAATGAAAAATTTCTTTTTCACACATTGTCGCTATATATCACAAAATAATACATATTTTAAATTTCTTGAAGTACAAAATTAAAGTAAGACCAATTTTAATTGCTTCAGTTTGGCAAAATATTTGAAAATGGCGTAAAAAATGTTTTCTTGCATTAAATACTACGATGTATACATGTTCTGCGCATGCGTTGTATTCATGTAATGCGCATGCGCAGTATATCTGTATTCAAGAAAATGTATTTACATTTCTTTCGAATAATACTTTTCAATAATTAGTAGATAAAATGACTTAATAAATGTGATAATAAACATCACTAAAATTATTATTATTTAATGTCTTTTATGATATTGTTAATTATGCATATACAGCGTATTATAAATACAGTCAGTATTTTACTGTTTTGGTAATAGAAGATTGTAACACCATAACTTTTTATATTTATATACAACAAAAGTTTGAATAAATATTATTATAAAATATGTAAATAGAATTTATTATTATATTCGAAAACTTGAAATTCAAATAATTAAATTTTTTATACGACAGCTTCGAGTAACCCAATGTTTATCCAACAAAATTAAATTTTTACCGGGACACATGTTCTGTCTGATCAATAACTGGTATATTCTACTGCGAAAAAAAGGACCAAATTACAAAACATTATATTAAGTAGTTCTTAAATTGTATCTTTCAAATTGTATAATTACTTCCATAAATCGTTCACATTCTCCATTTTTTATGGAAAAGAGCTGAAATAAATTCCAAATTCAATACTGAAATCTTGCATTGCAATATCACATATCATGCAACATTTAGAACATATTGTACTCGTTGCTTTATTTTACTTTCTACTATGATCTACGATTTAATGAGTTAAATTACTATATTTTATTATGTGATATTATATTTATTATATTACAATTCTCCTTTTAAAATATTTCTTCGTTTTATAAAAGCACTAAAAAGCCCTATCAATAATAAAGCTAAACATAAACGTAAATAACCTTACTTAGTTACCTAACCTCTCTACACAGCTGACTAACCAAACCCATCTACCTAATCTATCAACCTTTACCTATTTAAAATATCAATTCATCCACTTAATTAATTAATGATTTAGTTGTGTCTGAGACCTACAATTTTTTAAAAATGTTTGTAACCTTTTGAAATCAGTTTTCAAGAAAGATTAAATACAGGTCCTATCAACAGTAAACCTAAACATAAATTGTATAAAACGTATTAGCATACTTCTTTATTGAAACGTAACATGTGATCCGTAACAATATGCAGAACTATATCATTAAGATATTTGTTATAAAACATGTTTGCTATAAATAACGAGCCCGTTATTTACTCTGTTACCACTTGCTTCCTATAAATAACAAACTGTTGCACAACTTTGTAAGTTACTTAGTTTCTTCGTGATATATTATGCAACTTCGAAAATCAAGCAGATAAAACGTGTTCAATTTTCCGTCCAAAACATTCTCGTGTACCGTTCGAAATTTATGTTCTCGTCTCACTCGTAATATGTTAAATACCGTGTTCCGAGGATTCGATCGTTAGGAAAGCTGTACAAAATGCAACCGACAACGTGACAATTGCGATATTTACGATATATCGGCTTTTAATTTATGTTTACACAAGGGAGGCAATAATTAGCGACGGAATTAATTCAGCTGAATGTGTCCATTAATAACGTTTAGCGTATTATTAAACGACATAAACCTCCGGGGGCTGCGCCGTGGTGTAGCGTTATAAGTTATTCAAATTGAGTGTCCTACGGGGAAGATGTTAGGAGCTGTTGCCGTGTAAAACGATGTTGCTGCTCGTTGAACTAATAAATTAACTGGTCGACGTAGCTGGACATGCTGCGTTGTAATTGCGAAAGTTTCACCTTGTTTTTTAACCAACCGCACCATTAGTTCCAGCTGTTTGCTTTACGGCCTGTGTTATGTTAGACGTTATTAGAATTTCAATAAATACAGGTATACCGTTGCATAAATATACCTTTTGTTTTTATTAACACTATCACGATTTTGTGTCTACCTATTTCGACCAAAAGGTCTTTTAATTTATAAAAATATTAAAATTACCATGATTAGACATATTTTGAAAATAATTACCAAAATTGTTGTACTTCAAATTATGGGTTAAATGTAGATAATTTGAGTAATGTATTTATTGATACATTGATGTGTTTTTAAGTTAAAGAATTTCGGTATGTCCACATTATTGAATTTGTCTTAACACCTGAATTTCAAAATAACCAAATAGCTACATCCACAAATGTAAAATGACTTTAACAACAAAAATTGTAACAAAATATCTTGTTGAAATGACAACTATGTTAAACTAATTTGTTACTTGTAATTATGCTAAACACAAATACAATAGAATATTAATCTTTCTATCTTGTCAACATTAAATATAAAAAGCGACAAAAAAATTGAATGCCACCATAAAAGCTTCTATTTCCCTGCTACTAAAGTACAATAATTTTTCTGCTATCTAATACGAAAAAATGTGCTGTATCACGCAGAAATTACAATAGCGATCCTATTACAATTTGTTAGTACAAGTATCTGCCGTTTGAACAAGACGATTACAAATAGTATTGGTACGCCTGACACCGGTAACTAAATTGAATTTAAATATGCAGTACCTGTTCGCGATTTATGGTTACATCATAAAAGTACCACCTCGAATGCTACATCCTCTTTTTTTCTGGAACGAGACAGCAGTCGCGAAAGTGCCAACGAGGACTCAAGTCGTTTGAATACAATGCGATATTCACCTCGACGGCATTGCTAATTGCGAAATGCGATCGATCAATAAATACGCTAGTCATGCATGACTAGGATCTAGACTGAATAGATGGTGATCGTGATAACGCGAGAGATTTATGCGTTGTTATCCGGAGATAGATGAATGAAATACTTTCCTGTAACGTTGAGTTAAGTTGACCGGTGGATTTTGAAATGATTATATGAAATTGGTGGAAATGTTATTTATTATTCTGGGAATGTTGCAGAAATGTTGATTATTGTGCAATGAGTTTTTTCGTTGAAAGTACGTTGTGTGATTTTAAGAGAATGGTAATTTAGGAGGTCATGTAATTATGTGGATTTGAAATGACGTTTGGTGACTGATTGAAAAAAGTTGAACGGTGAATTTTTAAATGGTTAAATGAAACGAAATTGGTGGAAATGTTATTTCTTACTTGTTCAAGTAACATTAATTATTTTGTAATATAATTTTTATTTCACTATTTACTTTACTGCTGTTAAAAACGTATATGACTTTAAAATAATAGTAATTGAATGATTTATGCAACTATATAGACTCAAAATAAAATACTTAATTGGAACAGATTGAAAAAGATTGAATTATAATTAATGATGTATATGTACTTAAATAAAGAATGATTGATAGAAATCTCATTTATTATTCATATGAATTTTACAGAATAGCTGATTATTAGCAAAATAGTTTTAACTTTTAAGCTACTGATAATACATTCTTATACGACTGTAAGATAATAGTAATTTAACAATTTATTTTTCTTTGTTTTCAGGATGTCGATGTAATAACATCGGTTCAATAACTACTGCCTGCGATATCGTGACTGGACAATGTCAGTGTAGACCTCATGTAACTGGCAGACAATGTGATCGCTGTATGGTGAGTAAACTGAAACAATAAATTACTATTTTCATTCTATCTTTTCTTTCAACAGGTAAAAATTTTGCCATGTTAAAAATCACTTAAGTTAGTAATTAATTATTTTGTAATAACTTACAGATTTTTAGTATAAAGATTTAACAATACCTTGACGCAATTGTTATTAAATTATTATATTGATTATTTATTCTAAGAATATGTATTACTTCTATTATACACTCTATAGATATGTATATTTCTTTATATTTCTATTAGCATTGGAAACATTATACTTTTTCGAATTTTATAGTCTTGAAAATTATTCTTGAGAAATATTATATACTAAAAGAATAAAAATGAGACTAAAATTAATTGCGTAATTTTACAGGATTTTTGTTATTGTTGTAGTAGTCCTCTGTGAGAAGCATTAATATCGAAGTATTATAAATAGTACTACACCATTCTTTTTCATCTATAGTTTGACAAAATATCACAGTCTTCTTCAGGTCTTATTAATTCTACATTTAAGAAAAGTATTACATTGAGGGATGATGATGTACTTAAATGAATTAAAAAACGATGCCATATTATTAAGCTATTTAAAAGCAAAAAACATGTGATCGTATTCATCGTGATCATGCAAATGTGACCAGTTATTGTGATTGTTGGCGGTCCGCTTAATGTTATATGTCTTTGTGTTTATAATGTATTTTTGACAACTTTTACAGGGAAAATTATAATTTTACCAAAGTTTTAATAGTTTTGGTGATACGTAAATTATACATACAATTAATACATTATTTTTAGTCTAACGTTAAGTTATTTATTTAATTTTAAATTAACCTCTTTACTTATAATATCGAACTACGCTTGTGACAGACATTAAAGCTCAAATGTAATAAACCTAATTCACATTTCTATTACAATAGAATTATAACTTTAATACTAAATACAATTTTTACAATCAATTATTGCCAAATCTAAACTGCAGCTACATTTCAATTTTCTTCCTTTGTCTTGATATTGCAATAACAAGCTGCAAACTATAATTATCTGTGATTGACGCAATTTTCGAAAGAATCATAAGTTAAGAGGTTAATTCTATGTATGAAAGTTACAATAGCTTCAAAGTTTATATTGCTCTCTCTGATGAACACTAAAATGCATCTAATGATGCAACTATATTAGAGAACACAAATGTTCAATACAGCTTAAGTTATTATAATACATATAATTTATAACATTGAAATTCTTTAATTTTCTAATAACTTTTCAATGTTCCCAATTTATTTTCAATTTTGCATTAATTTTATTCTAAAATTATAACCAATTAATAAATCTAGGTTTCAGCGTACTTTAAACGTAAATCCAAATCAGTACTACAAAAAGCGTGTAACATTATACTCTATAATCGTATATAAATTATACGTTTCCGTTGTGCATTTTTATTTTGTTAAGGTCGGTTATTGGGGTCTGACAACAGGAGCAGGATGTGCTCCTTGCGGATGCGATCCCATAGGATCGCATAACTCTTCTTGCCACGATATTACAGGTCAATGTTACTGCAAACCAGGGGTCGGTGGTGCACGTTGCGACAACTGTTTGCCTGGTTACTACGGATTTTCCTCGAAGGGATGCCAAGGTAATCGTGCATGAAACCCATTTCTTCAAACCATCTGTTACTCGAATTATGCATTAGGGTACGTTCCATCTGAGAGTACAATTATCGTGAATTGTTCTTGATAGTCAAACTCAATCTAGGGGAGAAAAACAAAAGGGAAGACGTGATGAAAGAGTAAGAGAAAAACGGAGAGTAACAGGATTCAATTATTTTTTACAAATTAATATCAGGATTTTGATTCATTTTAATACATGACTGTGTTAAGAGGCGGAATCGCGTTGATGAATGACAAATTGTGTTAAACAAAATTTCTCGTTAACAATTCACATGATTACTGACACGGCGCTCACTTAAACAGGATTAATATCTAATCGATATATAATCATACTCATATAGTGTCCGAAAATAAAATGTTTAAAAAAATAATATGCCATTACTTATAGTATGTGTATATCTGTTTTGTTCGGTTTATTGATACTCAACCATATGATTAGGTTAGGTTTCACAATCCCATATGATGATTAAAATGTAATTCAGATTAATCAAGCAAATTTCTACCATTCTTGATAATATTCATAGTTAAACTATTCATATTGAACTAATCATTTAGTAGAACGTTCTTAGATATCTTTATGAGTTCCTACAGTTAATTTTAATAAATCATATGTAGTTTCTAGGTAGATTTCTGTTTTGAGAAACGCGGTTGAAAACAAAAGTAACGTGGTTAATAGTAACTTCCTCTTAGGTCTTAGATCACTTAGAAGTATAGATAATCTTGCTCATGTAGAAAATTAATAAAATTGAAATGGGTCGAGAGTTGTCTCATCACTCTCTGGTAGTAGAAAGCTCTGAAATAGAAAATATGAGAGCATAATAGAAGAACTCGTTTTTTTCATAGTCAAATAAAAACGAAAATCTCTCGAAATATCGGTGGCACATAAACCAATAATTAGTTGAGTTAAATAATACAACAAAGATATTGATGAATGCATATACTGTATTTATTGAACTTCTACTTCTTCTTCCCTAATCTTATCTTATGTATGTATGTATCTTCCATATTATGTACTTATGTCATAATTGTACACGTACTACTTGTTCTTACAGTTTGCGATCCCTGCTTGCGACCAGGTCACATATGTGACCCCGATACGGGTCGTTGCATATGTCCAATGTTGACCTTTGGTGAACATTGCGACAGATGTCGACCAGGTTCCTGGGACCTGGTTCCAGGAGTTGGGTGCAGACTCTGTGACTGCACCTTGGGTTCCACAAGATCCCACTGCGACCATCAAGGACAGTGTCCTTGTAGAATAGGCTACGATGGTCGTAGATGCGAGAAATGTGCGAAAGGGTATTACGGTTATCCGAGGTGTCGGCCTTGCGGCTGCAATGTGGCGGGTACCTTGCAGTGTGACAACGAAGTCTGTGACTGCAACGATGATGGACAGTGTCCTTGTAAAGTACGTTTATTCTTGCGATTTCAAACCTTACAATTTAAGATTTAAAAAATTGTTTAAATTTCTAAACTTAATGCAACTTTATTAAATGCTTAAGATGAATTAGTTATTTAAGACAAAATAGTGGTAGGATTCTTAACACGTTGGTTGCCATACTAACACTAGAACGCACACTTGCTTCTAAATTGAAAATGAAGTGAAAAAATAAATACTAATACATCAATCCATATATACTATACTTCGTCTCAACAACATATGACATTTCGACAAAAACACAACAAAATTTTGTAACGTAAATTATGAAACTTGAAACCAGTCATTTTGACTGGATGGTAGTTGCAGTGCTACAGCACTTGAAAAATTCATTGGATGGTATTTTTATCTTCAACAATTCCGATAATACATTTTAATAATATTTTGTTATATCTGTTATTCATAGCCTCAGTAAAATTTCCAATTTTAAAAGTTTTAATTCATAGTTCTAGTTAAGCCTTTAGCTTATAATATCAAGTTAGACTCGTAACGCACGTGACAGTTCAATTGTGGAAAACCTAAATCGTATTTATCAACACATAAAGATCGAGTTTTGAGTTCGATATTAATTGTAATTTGTAGAACTTAAGATTGGAAAATCCAAAATATACCTAACTTACCAACATTTCTTATTTATCTTAACACTGCAGTAATGATTAGGTAGCTCTGACTGACGCAACTACCAAAACTTGTAGGTTAGCACTAAACCTACCAAACCGTTTAATTCCACAAGTTTCTTATTATAAGTTACACAATTTGTTAAAATACTTTTATTAAAATCTTGCTTTTCAAGATAAAGAATTAATGTCTTATAATTTATGTTTCGTCATTTGTATATTTATTTTTCATTTCAAATTAAGTACATATACAACGGTGGGTTTAGTGTTAAGGGATTAACCGTTTGCACTCGAAGATAATTTTATTGTTTGCAAACAGCAACTTTAAAAATTATTAATTAATATGTTAAATGAGTACTTTTGAAGTTATTATTTCTCTCTATGTTTATACACGAGCGCTATTATAGAATTAGTTAAATAATGCTCATTTCAAATTGTTTCAAATTATGGTGTTTGAGAGGTGTCTCTCGAGCGCAAAAGGTTAATACAATTCATGACTCCCATTACTTACAATTAAATGAGTGATCAAATTCTTATAGTATAATATAATTTTATATAGAAATTTAAGTACTCAATAGGTGCTTATATTTGTATTAAAATTCGATTTAGGAACACGTGTATGGAAGACAATGCAATCAATGTAAAGAGGGTACGTTTGGTCTGGCAGTGGATACTCCGAAGGGTTGTACCGAGTGTTTCTGCTTTGGAAGAACCACTTCCTGTCAGCAAGCTGGTCTTAGCTGGGGTCAACGCAGATTAACACATCCTCGTACACTTTATGTTAATGACACAATCAATGATATAATAGTGAGTATCATAGTGAATTATAATCATAATTGTACAGAAAATTAATATAAGGAGAGAATTAATGTAAGGAATTAATATAAGAGTATTTAATGTAAATATATTTTTATACTGACATCAAACATCTAAATTATTTTTACAATAAAATGATGATGATCTTGAAATGACATTCATAATAACAGTAGATGATTTTTAATAACAGTGTAAATAATTTATTTTTCATAGTAATAACTTATTTAAGAATTCTTGATCGTAGTAATATACTCCAGATTACATAGAAATGAAACACCCTGTATATTGATTTATAAAATAAATGTACAACATAATTACTTTATGAAAAATAAAGGTTTTAAATAATTAAGGTGAACTAAAATTTCATTTTTATCTAGCGAGTTCTAATTAACGTTTCATAAATGAAAGAAAGTTTTATCGAAATTTTGGGGTATATAATTTTTAATTCAATTGAGTTTTGAATTATATTAATTTTTAATACAAGGTGTTTTACTTGAGGCAACGTCCACAAATATCTCCGAAATTATTCGTAATACCAAAAATATTACAAACAAATATTAAATGTTTTCTTGAACATCATGATGCGTTGTGAAGGACATTTGAAGGTCAATTTCATTTTTTCAACACAAAAATACATTTAATATATCAAATTCTTCAATTTTGCCGATTTTGTTCCTCATTTACAGATTTCAAAATTTAGATCTCAAGTTTGTTTATCTGCCGTTAATGGGGGTTTAAACGTGACGAATGGCTTGGCAACGATTCCTGACGTCGATGGTGATGTCACAATACCATCGAATTTATATTATAATTATCCACTTTACTGGATGCTTCCTGAACAATTTTTGGGTGACAAGGTAATCTTCATCTCCAAATCTCCAAATTCTTAAATTCCCAAATTCCCAAATCCTCAAATTTCCAACTTTTCAAGTTTCCAAATTCCCAAATTCCCAATTTTCCAAAATCCTAAATTCTCAAATTTCCCAAATTCCCAAATTCCCAAATTCCTAAATTCCCAAATTCCCAAAACCCCAAATTCCCAAAACCCCAAATTCTCAAATTCCCATTTTCCAAATTCCCAAATTCCCCAAATTCCCAAAACCCCAAATTTTCAAATTCCCATGTTCCAAATTCCCAAATTCCCAAATTTCCAGATTCCCAAAACCCTAAAACCCCAAATTCCCAAATTCCCAAATCCCTAAATTTGCAAATTGCCTAATCCCGAAATTCTCAAATAGACGTAAAAAAAAAAACAAAAATGTACTTATTTAAATTTACTTATTTGAATACGTTTATTTAAGGTCATTTCCTATGGAGGATTCTTGAGGTTTACAACTTCTACAGAAGGTGGTATACCTTTGAGATCAACTCTGCAGTATCCGGTGGTACAATTGCAAGGAAATTATAGAATTGTCTTGGAATATTATCTACCTTTGCCTGTCAAAACCAATCATTACGAAGTCAGGTAATTTTTCTTAGTGACGTAATTTGAAGTTTTGGCTAAGGTGGACCGGCTTTTGATTACTACTTATTATATTGCCACAAGGGGAAATGAGGAAAAGGAGAAGTCGCAAAACTTTTTCGATTTTTAAAGTCTTACAAATTTCCTGATCTTTAAATTACGAAATTTTTAAATATGCAGGTCCCAAAATTTTAAATTTCAATATCGCAAAATTCCAAATCTCGAATATGTAAACTTTCAAATTTTAATATCCAAAATTTACAAATCTCTAATTTCTAAATTTTCACATTTTCAAATCTCGACTGGCCAAATTTTCAAACTTTCAAATTCTTAAGCTGCTAACTTTCTAAATATCAATCTTCTAAATTAAAAAATTTTTTAATTTTAAATATCTCAAATTTCCAAATCTCGAATATCTAAATTTTCAGACTGTTAAATTCTCAGATCTTCAAATCTTCATGCCAAGACGTCAATCCATTCCCTTCCTTTTTAAATAAATGAAATAACACTAGTTTTTTGTTCTAGATTTCACGAGTCCTTATGGCAATTACAAAATAGACCTGATTACAAAGTCACGCGGGAGGTTCTTATGGTCGCTTTGCAAAATTTGCAATACATTCTCGTGAAAGCTTCTGACAATGCTGAGTTTACAAGAACAACGTAAGCACTTATATTCATTTTATTATTTTAGAGATGTAACAATTAAGGATTTAAAAAAAGTTTATTAGTTATTAGATGTATTCTAAAAATATAGTTATTAATTATTAATTTTATTCTAAAAATAGAGTTATTAATAATTAAACTTAAACTTACTTCATTGAATCTGAAGAAACCGAGTATTGGTCAACTAATCAATACACAATAATAATTATTAATTAGTAATTATTATTGTTGGTGTTTTATTTCTAATTATTTTAAATATTCTAGTGATTAGATTACACACAAGTATGTGTGAGCATATTATACCAATATAATGTCTTATATTTAATTATTATTACATTATATTATATTTTATGAATGGACGATAACAATTATATAATAATTTGTATAATATTATTTACTTTGTACAATATTATATTATATAATTTATTACATAATTTTAATTTATAGTAAATAATATACTGTATAATCTCAATTATATTATATAATATTATACAATTTAAATGATGTACTTAAACAGTATATGTAAAGTAATAATATTATACAAATTGAACAATTTAAGTTATTCTAATGTCACTAAATAAAGAAATTTATATTTTAACTTTAACCTCTCATCATGCTGTTACTATTAAACATTTAATTGGCATGTGGTAGTTTCAGCGGCAAGTCTCATTCACAATTATAAACAATCTCTAACAATTGTATTTCTAATGATTTCATTATTCTTTCTGGCAATTACAGTTTACTCGAAGCGACCTTAGACGCAGCGGTTCTAGCACCCACACACACACCACCTCTCGCAACGGGGATAGAAATCTGCAAGTGTCCTGCAGAATACAACAGCACATCCTGTCAGGATCCAAGTATCGGCTACTATAGGTGGTACAAGAACACAACCGTTACATCGACCATCGTTATCGATCTCGTCGGTGAAGCAAGACGGTGTCAATGCAACGGAAGATCCGAGATCTGTGATAGAGAAACAGGACACTGTTTGGTAAAAAGGACAATTTGTTTTATCAACATTATAAGATTGTAACTAGAAGGACTGCCCAAGTGTTACCTCCAAAATGGAGTATAAAAATGTTCAATTGAATATTCTCTATAAGATGGCAGAATTTCATAAATGAAAGAGTGTACGTTTGGTAAGTTACCCTGGTTGCTGAACGTTGTGAAGCTTCTGTGACGATTCGATCTGCATTTGTTCGTTCATCTGCTTGTTTATTTGTACGCTTCAGACCGCCATTTTGGAGCTTCTGGCTTGAAATTTTGAGGGTAGACTCGTAAGTCACCCTAAATTTGCTGTATAGATTTTGCCGGCGATCTGACGACAGGAACCTGTCGTCATCGACATCGATCGTCGAATCGATAAAAAATCGTTTGGTATCGTTTTCGATAATTTTTCACACATAGAATCGACTGAAACAGCGTTAAAAACTTTATAACTCATCGTTGACGACAATACTTGGTCGTCATTGACGTTAGTCGTCGTGACATCAACAATAACGTATTTGGTATCGTTTCCGATAGTTTCAGAGACGTTTAATCGTTTGGAACGACTTTAAAACCTGTACATCTTATTTTTTTACCTAGATGTTTGCCCTAAATTTTAAATACATATTCAAATTCGCAGACATCTTGTCCGTAGACTCAAAAATACATAGTTTCATAATTTTGAAACAACAGAACTTGATAATATAATAATATTATGTGAAGGATAAAAATGTTATCCTATTTGAAATTTTTATTTCAAATTCGAAATTATGAAGGGATTAGGAAAACATAATGCAACTTCAAGAACGTTGTTATTAATAAAAAATGATTTTTAACATAATAATATCTGACACATTTATGTACTTATGTATCAATATGAAATTGTGCCGTTTGTCATACATGATGATTGCTTGTTTTAGAATTGTCGTGGAAACACCGCAGGACCAAGGTGTGATGTCTGCGCAGACAGTTTTTACGGCCATCCAGATTTTGGTTGCAAACCTTGCCCTTGTCCTCAAACGGATAAAAGATTTTCGAATACTTGCATGGTCCTCGCCAATACGGAAGCAATTTGCGTCTGTAAACCTGGTTAGTATTTGCAATTTATTATACATTTCTGTACATATGTGCTAATTAAAAAAGAAAAATTGTGTTCAACATTTTTATATTAACACTTTAATATTTTCTGTTCATACATTCTTCAAATTTTGCAATTTTCTAATTTGTTAATTTCAAGATTTTTAATCTTTCAGAATTTAAAAATTTCAAATTTTTAATTTTTCAAAATACTTGCATATTATTAAATTTGTAATTATTCAAACTTTAAAATTACCAAATCAACCAAATTCTAATATTCGAATTTTAATATTAAAAAATTAAAAAATTTCCGAGTTTTCAAATTGCCTAGCCTCGAAATATTGAAATTCTCAAATTATGAGAACTGATATTTTCCATTTTCCAGAAATTCTAGTTTCCAAGTTTCCGAAATTGTACATTCCTAAATCTCCAAATATTAGTATTTCCAAATTTTCAAACTTTCAATTTTCCAAATCTCCGAATTATTCAAATTCTCAAACTTACAAATACTCAAATTTCCAAATTCTTAAAATTGTAAATTTTCATATTTCCCAAACCCCAAATTCTTAAATTCTCATTTCCCAAATCCCTAAATACCCAAATACCCAATTCCCCAAATCCCCAAATCCGGAAATCCTCAAATTTCCAACTTTTCAAGTTTCCAAATCTCCAAATCATCAAATCCTCAATTTTCCAAATTTCCAAATTTCCAAATCCCCAAATTTCCCAAATTCCCAACTCTCCAAAATCTTAAATTCCCAAATTTCTCAAAACCCCAAATTCCCAAATTCTCAAATTCCCAAATTTCCCAAATTCCCAAAATCCTAAATTCTCAAATTTCCAAATTCCTATTTCCCAAATTTCCAAATTCCCAAAACCCCAAATTCAGTCTTTTCAAATTCCTAAATTTGCAAATTACCTAATCCCCAAATTCTCAAATTTCTGAATTCCATACTAGAGAAAGCTTTGCTCCACCATCCTTGACATAATATAAACATAACAATACCTCAAAAAATAAAACTCTTTCGCCCTTTATAAATAATCTAACAACATTAATATTCATATACTATTGATTATCCAAACATTCACTTATTCCCACAAGAACCCACCGCTTCACTAATCTTGTTTTTGATTTCCGTCAGAAATCACTACACAAGGTGCATATCTGTTTTCGCAGGCTACACCGGCAGAAGATGCGAGCAATGCTCACCTGGATATTACGGTCTTCCACACCTTCCTGATGGCAAATGTATGCCATGTAATTGTAATTCCGCTGGAAGCTTAAGTGACGAGTGCGACATGGAAACGGGACAATGCAGATGTAGAGCTGGATCTACCGGGCGAGACTGTTCTGAATGTACCGCCTATCGCCACGTTTATATCAACAATGTCTGCACATGTAAGTAGCAAAACACGACTCATGCCACATATTATGCCATACTAAGCTGCTGACGAACAGATTGCTTCCTTTCTTATTTATTATGTTGGGCTGTAAGAACAGCTCTCTCTATATTCTCCCTCTTTCTATCTATTCGATTTCTGTGTTCTTTCTATGTACGATTATGATAGATTCAATTAAAGAAGGAGTTATTATATTGCTACGTGTAAAGTGGTCTATTTGGAAAATGGAAAATTGGATTTTCTGTCATGGGAAGTAATACATAACACATCACTCAATAAGTCTCCGGTCTAACTAAGAAAAACAAATTTTTTTTTAGAAATTCCACTTTAATCATCAAGATACTTTCCTTCCAGTGTGATACATTGATTCCAACGCTCCTCTAACTTTTCAATTCCCTTTATATTAAACGATTTGTCTTTGCCCCCAAAATAAGCTTCGGTTTCCGCAATCACTTCTTCGTTTGAGCCAAATTTCTTTCCCTGGAACATTTTTTTCATATCTGCAAAGAGCCAGCAGTCGCTGGGGTCCAAATCTGGGGAGTACGGTGTGTGGTCAAACAATTCAAAACGTAATTCATTCAATTGAACCATCGTGTTCATCGACTTGTGACACGGCGCATTGCCTTCGTGAAACAGCAAACGCGGCACCCACTTTGAAAGCAATTTGCACGTGCCCAAATTATCATGCAAAATTGTAAAGACACTACCTTCTAATATCTTCAAGGCATCAGCTATCTCACACAACTTAAGTTTACGGCCCTTTAAAACTATTTTGTGGCATTTTTTATGTTTTCCGGAACGACTGCTGATTTTGGGCAACCAGAGCGTTCAGCATCATCGGTGCTTGTATGACCGCGTTTAAATTCAGCATACCAGTCAATGATAGTCGATTTCCCTGGAGCAGAGTCCCTATAATGCTTATCAAGTCACTTTTTGGCTTCAACAGTATTTTTTCCGATAAAAAAAACAGTGTTTAATCAACACACGAAATTCCTTTCTATCCATTGTCTTCAAAATTACGAAACTGGGGGTACTAAAATGACTGTAACTTCTAAACTATTGGTCAGAACAGACACGTACTGTTTGAAGGTTAGCATTATTCGAAAATAACGTGGGTCTGTCACCAGTGTCGCCATATATGTGTCAGACCGGGGACTTATTGAGTGACATGTTATACTGTACTTGTATAAATACGTGTATGGTATATGGGAGTGAAGCTTAAAGTTACGAAAGTATCGTAAAGTGACGAAGACTGTATATAATGATGTTAGTAATATACATATAATGATACTGATATGAGGGGTGTATCACAATTGGTGTAGCTCCCTGAAATGGGGGGTAGCTGACGCGATTCTGAATAAGATTTCCCTTTGCAAAAATGGGGTTTGAAGCTTCGTTTTTGAATTATTGAGAAATTTAAATTTTCACTCCGTAATTTCCACGCGCTGTATTTCCACGTGGCATAATTTCCACGCGCCATAATTCAACGCTCCGTAATTTCCACGCGTCGAAATTTCCACGCGCCATAACTCCATATTTCGTAATTTTTAAGTTATTTATATTAAGGAATTAAATTTTTTTAGGCTCGAAGCTGTCGCTTCCTCGTCTGCGCATGCATAATCCTCGCGCTCTGGTTGGTCCGTGTTTTTCCTTAGTAATTCAAAAACGAAGCTTCAAACCCTATTTTTGCAAAGGGAAATCTTATTCAAAATCGCGTCAACTACCCGTCATTTCAGGCACCTACACTAAGACACCCTATATAATAACAGATGGATAGTTAAAAATGATTGTTTTGTAAGCATGGAAGTATCGTAGCGATATAATATGTAGCAAACTTTTAAAAATTGTAATTCATTGAAAAGTAATTAATTTGAACAGTTAAAAGCACTTTGGATAGCTTTTTCCTGCGAACATTTTAAAATATATATTGTCATTTTCTTTTTATAATTCACAGTAGTTTTATTTAATTTTGAAAAACACAAACATTTTTTCGCAATAATTCTTTGATTATGTTAATTATGTTAGTTTATTCCTAACTAACTATTTTAAAAGAATATTTAACAATGCAAGAAATTTGGTATGATGTTATAAAATTAATTGTGAATTGCCTTTATCTACAGATATAAAACAGGGATTGTCTTCCTATATTTTATAATCATTTAATTAATAACTTCGCAAAAATAACTAATTTTATTGAAATTGATGCTGAACTTAATTTTATTTTTTTTGTCATTGAATTAAACGACGATTGCTTTAAACATTGATCATTTGTTCAGAATCGGGCTAATGACCACAGTAGTCGACGCCCGCAACAAGAATCAATCAATCAATCAATTTGTTCAGAATTTGAGTCAGAACTTTTCTTGACCGACGGCTTTGATAACAGAACTCTTCTTGACCGACGACTCTGATGATCACCACAACTCTTAAGCTAATTAGAATTAGCCACATATGGTAAAAAATTGATAACAGTTTGGTAAAGTCAAAACAATTCGAAGTGAATTTGTCTTACACTCCGTTGTAATTCGATGCAGATTATAGTCAATTAGACTAATAAAATTAACTATATTAATTGATTTACACCGCAAACGACGCGCGTTGCGCCACCTAGCGGCATTGTATCGGAACTAATGAAACTTTAGTTTCAAAAGTGTGTAGTTCACTTTGTTCGCTGGAGAAATAGCACTACTTGTTCCATTTTTATAGGGATTGTCCTCCTATATTTTAATAATCAATTAATTAATAATTTTGCAAAATGACTCATTTTATTGGAATTGATTCTGAATTTAAATTTAATACATGTTCCTGAATTAAGGTTTGATTGCAAAATGAATAGTAAACGATTTTGTTTTTAAAATAAAATTGAATATGATCAAACGACGATAGCTTTAAACATTAATCATTTGTTCACAAATACAAATAGAACTCTTCTTGATCGACAACTCTGACAACAGAACTCTTCTTGACCGGCGACTCTGATGATCACCACATTTTCTATTTAATTCAATTAATACAATTGATTTTACACAAAACTATTATCAATTTTTAACCATTTGTGGATAATCCTAATTAGTTTAAATATTAATGGGTCATTCCACGCCAAATCGATCACTTTCAGACTTCACCATCTTCGATTTTGCTCTATTTAAAATATGTTATAGTCCATGAAATTAGTCCGTGAAATTAGGGGGAAGGGGTCATCATTTTGCCGATTTCGAATTTGTTAAAATATAGCAAGCCTTCAAAATTTACAATTTTTGCCTATTTTTGCGAGAATAGGCTTCACTTACGAATTTTTTTTTAGCTAAATTTTTTTTGTTTTATTCATAAAGGAATAGGCTATTTTAAAATATTTTTTTTAATTCTATAAATTTGTTATAAAATTTTTTTGTGTTTTTTTCAATGAGGGGCGTAAAGGGTTTAAATTAAAAAAAATTATGGTGATATTCCTTGAAACTTTCCTTTTAAAATGAGCCCTTCAGAATGATGGAAACTCAAAAACAAGCTACAAGCTGGAAAAGGACCTAAGACTGCGCTGCCGTTTCCTTCATGAAAACTAAATTTGCACAGTATATAAATTGTTTAATTTCTATGTATGAATTGTTTAATTTCTTCCTTTCAGCATGTAATGATAATTGTACGGGTATATTACTCGACACCTTGGAACTACTTTCGCAAGAACTGGCGGATGGCACATCTCACATAGCGGACGGCTACATTCCTCCTCCATGGGAAGATCTATCGTACATCGATTCGAATACAACCGCGTTTTTGGAAGAAATCGATATGCAAAATAAATTGAAGCAAAGAATGAAAAATGTTCCCTGGAACGAATATCGGATACTTAAAAAATACGCTGAAACGTTGCTCAAATCAGTATGTGATAATTTATACTTGCAAATACTTTAAAACACATGAAATACTGTGTTATTAATATCATTACATGAAATATAAACTATAATGCACTTTCCAGGCGAATGAATATATAAAATTTGGAGTCACTATGAAGTCAAAAAGCAACGACTTAAAAAACAATATATTTAGTGCGAATATCGAAATGGACAATTTGAAAAAATATATTGACGGTACGTTTAATACTGTAATTATAAATTTTACTTGATTTTAGAATTTTATTGCAATATTTTCGCAAAACTGAAAAACATTTAAAAGAAAGAAGAAATGTAACAGAAATTAGTGTCTGGGTATTTTTTTAAGCAATTTTAATATGAAGAACTTGTATTTTGTGAAATGTTTATTTTATAAAAATTTAATGTGCACCATTTTTATTTCGTAAAGTTTCAATATTCATAATTTTTGTTTAATTTTAATATTTTAAATTATTTTACAAACTTATGATGTATCAAATGTAACAAAATAATTAATATTATTTAATTATTATTTATTCTAAAAATATCCATTGAATTAACACGTAGGATTATTTTTGGACAACTGTAAATAGTTGTTATAAATATGCAAACATAAAAATAACTCAGATGTATAAATATCTAAGTATTCAATTTTGCACATGATAATTAAAAAGGAACATGATTTGTTTGCACATAACCAAATTATTCGGTAAAACAATATTGAATAAAATTAATCCATATTCAATAAAAATTATAAAAGTATTCAGTCACTAATATCATAATTGATTGGAAATAAAAAAGACTGTAAATTCCATTTTCTTAAAAATTGATTTCTATTTACAGAAAAGATATTCAATATTCTTTTTAAATGTTAACAAAACTGTAATTATAATTATTCATACTTTTTATAAAGAACAATATTTTATCTAGTCACCGAATAACATTATTTTAAACAAAAGGAATTGGTTTTTCTAAAAATATTGTTTTAGTACAGTCTTATTTATTTTCATTCTTCAATTGCTACTTATATACTTCTTTTTTAAAAACTAATTCTAAAAACACAATCTTGTACATTTCCAGATACAATGTTGTTGCTAACTCAGTACAACAACGACAACAAGAGAATAGAAATAAAGAAAGCCTTAAAAATGGCAAAAATGCTTTTAAACGGCATCAAAAGCGTGAACTTGACGAAAAAAACCATGGAGATAGAAAACTTTCTCGAGTTAGTATTCGTGTTAAAAATTTGTTTACGGTATTTTTTTATATATATTAATAAATTAGAAATAACTATAACTTCTAATTTTAAATAACAACGAATTCTACAATTTTAAATAACTAATTTAACAAATAATAATAGGGAAGTCGCGGATTATTTGAGATTAAAATTCTCAAATTCCCAAATTTCCATTTCCCAAATTCTTAAATTCCCAAATCCCCAAAACCCCAAATCCTCATATCCCCCAATCCCCAATTTTCCAAATTGCCCAAATTCACCTAATTCCAAATTTTCCAAAATCCTAAATTCCCAAAACCCCACATTCCCAAATCCTCAAATCCCCAAATCCACAAATTCCCAAATTCCTAAATCAACTCCTGAATCCCAAAATTCCAAAATTCCAAAATTCCAAAACCCCAAAATCCCCAAATCCCCAAATCCCCAAATCCCCAAATCCCCAAATACCCAAATCTCCAAATCCTCAAATCCCCCAATCCCCAATTTTCCAAATTTCCAAATTTCCAAATACCCAAATGTCCCTAATTCCCAATTTTCCAAAATCCTAAATTCCCAAAACCCCAAATTCTCAAATTCCCATTTCCCAAATTCCCAAAACCCCACATTCCCAAATCCCCAAATCCCCAAATCCGCAAATCCGCAAATCCCCAAATCCACAAATTCCCAAATCATCAATTCCTGATCACCAAATTCCTAAATTCCCAAATCCCCAAATCCCTAAATACCCAAATCTCCAAATTCTCAAATTCCCCAATCTCCAATTTTTCAAAATCCTAAATTCCCAAATTCCCAAAACCCCAAGTAACTCTAACTTCTAATTTTAAATAACAATGAATTCTATAATTTTAAATAACTAATTTAACAAATAATAATAGGGAAGTCGCGGATTATACTGACTGGCTGAATTCGTTGTACGATGCGACGGAGCCATTGGCAATGGCGCAAGAAGAAGCAGAAAATTATTCGATGAAATTAAACGACACGCGAAGTATCATAGAACAAACCATGGAAACGTTGTTCACGTACGATGGTTTATATAATAACATTAATCAAACACTTTTGGAAGCTAGAAATCATTGCGGTGAGATCGATATGTTGCGAAATGAAGTGAATGAATCTATCAATGAGGGGCAAAAATTGACGGACGAAACGCGTGGTTTCATCATTGATATTCAAAACAATATTCAGGTGAATATTATTTAACTTTATTTAACACTAAAAATATCAAACCGGTTAGTTGATAACATCACTTTGCAAAGTTTATTAAAGTATATTCGTAATTTTATTAAAATTTGTTAAAATACTTTTGCTGAAATCTGTGATGATTTTTATGGAAATTGAGAAGGAATGTTAATTTATCTTCTATTTATCTTGTTTACTTATTTTTCTATTTCATAATTAATTTTACTTTATAAGTTGATAGATTTAGTGTTAATAATAAAATGCTGTTTGTAAGAAAAATTTTTTCATACTTTCAGTGTAAAATACTTTGCCTTGGAAGAATACTTTCTTACATATTTTTATTGTATTATTGTTTTATATTTTTATTGTTTTATTGTGCGTTAATTGTAGAATTTTTATCACATTATAAACAGTTTTTTTAAGTGTTTTGATGATGCATTAATGGTAATATTTTTATTGTAACATGAAGAGTTTTACCAATGCATTAATCGCAATGTTTTAGCTGTATCATGAATAGTTTGACCAATGTCATGATTATACATCAATTATGCTATTAATTATATTTAATATTATGTGTTTGCAGATGAGAACTTTCAACAGTTATTACCTCATTAATATTTTATTTCTTTAAATACTTCATTGACTTCATTAATATTTTGTATCTATTTATCTAATCTCAAGAGTCATATAATTTGTTGTTCATATCTCGTTTTGTAGGAACATTGAAAAGATATGAAAATTAATTTTCTGCGTATAGTTTTTGTGACTTTTAAAAATATTTTGCATAAAAAGATATCAGTTAATATAAAAGTGGCCAATAGTTTGTGGATTTTAATTCTAAAAAAACATTTTAATTCAAGAAGAGGTGAAACATTTTGTAAAAAACTGTGAAATATCTATTAAATTCATATGCACCTTTATTAATATTTTTTAAGAAATTTTTATATTTAAAAGATTTTTATATTTAACAGATTTTTATATTTAATAGGTTTTTTATATTTAACAAATTTGTATATTTAACACATTTTTTTATCAGGAAACGAGATTTTAAATATTTCAACTAAATTGCAGGATCTTCCAGAATTGAAAAATAAACTGACGTACTGGTTCGATAAACTGAACATGAAAGAAGGATTGTTATATCGATTAAATCATGAATATGAGGATAAATATGTGGTGCCAGCAGTCGAACACGCAAAAAATTTGTCGAATTATGTTGATCAGTATGTCAGGTAAGAGAAAACGTGTTATTTTTCTTTGTTCATTGCGTTATCATATAAAATTTCACTGTTTAATATCATTCAAATAGTTAAATAACATTATTATTGTAATTACTAAAAATAAAACTCAAGTTGTAATAATTAATTTGTTTTTCACAAAATAAATACAACTTAACTATTTGAAAAATATTTGGAAAACATTTCGCACTGGTCCTGTAATAGTACTATTCGCTTTAATTATAATGTTCTATATACCATTTTTCCTTTCTTCAAAATAAATATTCAAAATTAATAATCAATCAATATTAAAATTTTTATATATTCAAAATTTGATGTGTTCTTTTTACTTTCAAAACAAGATTCAAATGTTTCGTTCAAGAGACACCTAAAAACAAATTTGTTCATGTAATATAACTACTCTTTGGATAACTTTATTATTTCTTTCAAATTTTTTTGAAAAAGAACTGAATTGGAATTTAAATAATGTACAAGGTCTCTCAAACGTCTGAGAATGATCAAGTATCTCTTATACCACACGTTTGAAAAAGAAAAGCAGTATTAAATACAAAATTTGTAGAATTCAGACGAAATCTTCAGTAAATCTGATGAAATTTTGATTCTTATCTTGTCAAGGCTAAATGAACCTCGATTTAGACTCGATAGTCAACAGAAACCTAAAATTTAGTCAATTCAATAAAATCATTAGATGACTTTGTTTGAATCTCAAAATTTGTTAAACATTTGTAAAATTTTACATTAACAAAATAAGATAAATAAATGTTATAAAATACTAAATATGCAATAACAAAATTTTTGTTTAATCTTAATGTAAAATGTGTGGTCGACTTTGTGACGCCTTGTATGATTCTTGTTAATAAAATAACGCGGAAGTCTTTATTGTACAAAACGCGAAAACAGTTCCAGTCGCGAATCAATAATCGTTAATTAATTATACGCTATATTGCTTAATGTAATTGACGATCGATAACTTGATAAAGTGCAACTTGGCGTTTCTGCCGAGCAGTCTGTTTTCCGAGACAAGAAATATCGCAGCTAGCCCCCTGAAAGCCAGTCAAGCGTACAAGAATATCGTCGATAGCATAAGAACTGCAAATATCACAGCAAAGGCAGCTAAAGATATTGTTGATGACACTTATAACAAGGTAAAAACATACTTCATCGTAATTGGAACAATTATTTCTTATTACCCTATGTTTATAAACTGTTTAAAATTAACGTAGTACAGTAAACTATTATACAGGAACTAGTTCCTGGTCATCGAATTACCACTACAAATTTTCAGCATTTCACACGTTTTCCGTAAAATTAAGACCTGTTAAAATTTTAATTATATAATTTATTAGCTACTATGATACACTACTACATAACATTATTAACACATGTTAATATCTTGTATTTCTACCCTTTGCTTTGGTCACAGCTTCCGGCATGCTCTGTATACATCATATGCTTTATATCTTCATTATTTTCCCAAATATCTGTAATTCTTTTCAACTCAGGTAATGTGGTTGGAGAGTTGTAAACTAGTCTTTTGAGTAGGCAGACATTTTCTGTGATATTCAAATTTCACCTGACGCGCTATCGATACTCGAGCCTAACGTAAACGCTTGCGCAGCCCTTAATCGCTTATCACCCACACAATTTATTATCACGATAGTGACAAATTACTATGTATATATCGTTGTCAACGTATTTAGTAATAATTTTGTGTGACCCAAGACAATTTTCCGTATATGACATAATGTTGTAGCCATGAAAGATATTTTCGTACGTGGTTCTAATTCAATGGCCAGGTACTACCATGTTTAACATCATGTATAATTATTAAGAATGATCGTTAAGAATATATATTATTAAGAATAGTTGTTAAGAATATACATTATTAAGAATAGTTGTCAAGAATATACATTATTAAGAATAATTGTTAAGGATATACATTATTACGAATGTAATATTGTCAGAATATTCTCACAGTTATTTACCGTTGTAATTATTGCACGAGGTAGTCTTGAATATAATATTAGGAAAAAGATTGTTTAAATATTAAAAAGGAAATTCTCACGATTATTTCTCGTAATAATTATTGCAGGATGTAGTTTAGATTAAATATATCAGGAAAACATCCTATAAATATTAAAAAGAAAATCTTTGTGATCATTCGCAATTGTAGTTATTGCAAGATGGAGTCTGAATTGAGCATAAAACAAAGAGAACTCTTCAAATGCTAAAAAGAAAATTCCCACAATAAATCATCGTTGTAATTAGTGTAGGATGTACAATTGATTGAAATTAATATCAGAAAAAAATTCTATAAATATTAAAAAGAAAATTCTCACAACGATTCTGCATTTTAATTATTGTAAAGTGTGATCTTGTTTGCATACAATATTTAGTACAAAATTTTTTAAATATTAACAAAATAATGTTTACAATAGATCGTCGTTAAAATTATTGCGAGAAGTAATCTTGACTGAAAGTATAAGGAGAAAAATTCTTTAAATATTAGAAAGAAAATTCTCGCAATGAATCATAGTTATAATTACTGCAAGATGTGGTTACAACTGAATATAATATTAAATAAAAAATTCTGTAAATATTAAATAGAAAATTTTCACAGTAAACCACTGATATAATTATTGTATAATTATTATTTTATAACCACTGATATAAGATCTTGATTGTCCATATGTGATTAGAAATTTTTTAGACATCAAATTCTTAAAAATAGTAAAAGTCAAATTTCTGTAATGTTCAACTAATTTTGACTAACAATTTATTATATAATAAATTTGCAGTATTTATTAATTAAAAAATCTACGATTAGAGTGTATGGATATCTAAGCATTACGAAAGTACATGACAAAATATTATATATATTATGATAAAATGATACAAAATATAATTATATAAAAGATATTTATTATAACTAATTATATGTATTAGGCATTTCCTGATGGACCCGACTCAAACTCGCTTTTGGACGAAAGTAAAAAAATATCGTTGGCTTCGTCCACACAATGGGATAGTGCGAAAAGTCATGGAAAAATTGTACAGAACGCTAGCGATCAGCTAGATTTGCAGAAACAAGCTGTAAATGCTCTGAAAAGCACTTTGAATAACACTGGAGTCAGGGATAATCAGGTGAATGTAAAGCTACAGATCTTGCAAAAAGATAGCGAAAAACGTAAGTACTTTATTTAATTTTAATCACTTTGCAGAGTATTCTACCTAACTATATTTCTTTATTTTACTATTTATTTTGTATTTGTTACCGTTTACTCATTTATTTTACTGTTTGGTATTATGCAGATTATTTTACTATTTGATTAAATACAAACTATTTATTTTACTATTTGATAAAATGTAAAACAATGTTTTAAGGATTTTTTATTATTATACTTGAAGGAAGAAATTGAAGAGGGTGAAGGTCAGAACAAGGTCATATTTCCCAACATTTCACAGTAATCTTTGTTTTTTATTATTTTTGTGGATGCACATTTTGTGGATTTCAGTTCTTGCAATTTTACTTATTATTTGTTATATTTAGTAGACATTAAAATTATATAATATTGTAATAATTATACGGAATTATAGAAAAGTTTCTATAATTACATAAAATTTCGTAAACTTGTACTATTATAAAAAAATATGATGAAATTAGTAATATGTCCATTTCTGTTTCTTTCACATTATGTAATAATTTGTTAATGTATTAAAACTTGCGCTCATGTATCGTATCAGAGTATTTACTACACATCAGCATCAATTGTTATAAACAAGGTCTTTATAAATATACCAAAGTGCACTCGAAGTGAAGATCATAATAAAATTAGAATTGTAAGTTATATTTCAAACAAAATGTTCTAAAAAATATTTTCTCATTTATATAACAAAAATATAGTATGTAGTTTCAGTTAAAAAAAAAACAGAGATTACTATAAAACCTTGAGAAGTATAACCTTGAGGTAACCTTCATCTTCATATCTCAATTTCTCGACTGCAATGCACAATAATAATTTACCTTGAATATATCCATTAATTAAAAATTTATGATGTAGAAAATGTCGATTAGAAAGAATGACTAACAAGTTAAATGGGATATTCTGTATTATATGTGTGCATAATTTATAATTATAATGTAAATATAAAACAAAGAAAACCGTGTTACAAATATAATATATAGTTATTCATTTCTTACAGTGCGTGAAAATATTCAGAATATACTAGACGATAACGAGGAAGTACTAGAAACGATTATAGATAACCAAAAATTAATCGACGATTACAAAGAAGGAATTACTAATACACTGAAACCAAAATTGTATGAATTGAAAAGAGAGGGTGATTCAAAGATCAGTTTAGCCAGTGAAAAACGTAAGAAGCTTTATATATTATTTATTTACTACCATAATAACGTAACTTAATAATCACAATTTTAGAGAAAATGAATTTAAGTATTTTTAATAACATATCTTTATACGAACGTTATTATACAGCTACTTTGATGTACTCATTTGTAAAAAATTACAATAGTTAGAAGTACAAAAAGTGGTAGTTACAAACAAGAAACATTTTATTCAATTAATATGATGTGATATAATAATATGATTGAATAACAATTTAATCAATTGTTAAGACAAAATTTGTAAAATCTTACAATATACAAGTTTATTTGATATAAATAAAATCTTTTTCTAATACAAGGCTGTATTCAGATTCTATAAATTCCATAATTTTTATAAATGCTGCAAATTTTATAAATTCCATAAATTCCATAAATTCCATAAATTCTATAAATTCTATTAATTCTGTAAATTGTATAAATCGCATGAATTCACTGAATCCTGTGAATTTTAAATTATATCATTGTTGTAGTAGTATATTCACTATGTCACACTTCAATGAAAATAATAAATGAATACCTTTTCAGTAACCGAGGCATTAAGCAACATAAAGAAGGCGGACGCGAAATTAACAAGTTTATCTAATGCTTCTGTTAAAAGAAAAAACGCATTCGACAAATGGAACGATACTTTAGCCACAAAATTACAAAACTTGAAAGATAAAATTGCAGAAGCCAGAAACACCGCAGATGGAGTAATTATAATATTATTTATATAATATTTAACATAATTTAAATAAATCTTACATTATTTGTTTGAAATCATATCAATTATCTATTATTATTGATTTAAATTTAATTATTATTATTTTCTTTTTAATTAAAACATCAATTCTGTCTACAGATTAGGGTGTCATTGAGATCAGCCGAAGGAAAAGAATGCATTCGATCTTACAGACCGTCTACGTTGCAACCATCATCGACAAATACAATTGTGATGACGTTTGTCCTTCCAAGAGGAAAGAAAGAAGGTCCCTTGTTTTATCTACCGAGTAGCATAAATGTAAATATACACTATAAATTTGATTTTAAGATACTAGTAGACTTTAAGATATTAGTATTAAGGTGCTAATAGTAGGCACTAGTAAATGTAATAAGAGTTATACATACAATCTTATGCATAATTCCCTTTTGCAAGAATATCTAGTTTAATCCTTTTAATTTAAGAATACTATAATGGTCCAACACACACATTTTTGTGCACTACACAAAATTTATATGTTTAAAATTATTTTGAACTTTTTTTGCGGAAATTTTGCACAATAGCCATCCAATATAATAGAACCTCGATATTGTCTTGTGTCAGGGGGCTCTAGGTGCAAAGCAAAAATTACAAAGAAACAATAACAGCCACGTTTTTCTCCCACTTATAAACACATAATGAAAATTAAACATTTAAATTACATATTTAAATCGCTCATATTTTTTTGCACATAAGTACATACTTTTTCCTTTGCATATTGTAGCTAATATTAAAATGTATTCAAAAATACTGTTTACCTATTTGCAGGATGATTTCATTGCTTTGGAGATCATTAATAGAAGAGTAAGGTTCGTGTGGAATGTTGGAGGCGGTACAGGAGTCGTTGTTCATCCTGAAATAATTGAAAGCGGTGATCTTCGCGAGGATAAATTTTGGTACCGCATTGAAGCTGAGAGGTATTCTATTCCCTAAAAAAAATAGTATGCAACATATATAACATCAGTGCATTCACTGAAGTATATGTATCTATTTTTACATAAGTATTTTAATATAAACGTTATATATATTTATTTTTTTATTTATTGTTATACGTATTTTCCAGAGTGCGTCACCTAGGCAAACTATATGTACGGAAACAAGCATCAAGGTCCGAAAAATATTCCCCCGTGATGAATTCAACGAATTTCGAATATGGTCGTTTCGACATCTCCATGTCAGATCGTGTTTGGATAGGTGGAATTCCAAGATCTCAACGAAGAAGACCAGAACTTCTTGCGAATAATGGCCTCCCAGCTTGCGTGCACCAAGTAATTCTAGACGGGAAACCCATAGGTCTCTGGAATTTTATCACAACTGCACCAGATATGGCTTGCCAAGCCTGTGTAGAAGGGTATTTATAAAGACATTGTAAATTAAATTTTAAATCAAGGCGTAAGTCAATTAAAGTAACTTTGGTAACTTCGTTCCAAAGTTAGAATACCTTCATATTCAACATTGTTGCTTTGTAAGTTGCTAAATCATGAAGAAACAAATTACAACTGTTGACACAATATCGATAAGTTAGTTTAATAATGCTATACAGCAGTATGAATCAATAATAATCACTTTGTAACTTTGGAATATAAATCACCATATTCAACCTTGTTGCTCTTCAAATTGTTAAAATATGAAGAAATATATGACAACTCCTGAAAATTGTAGATTAAGTTAATAATGCTATAAGTTAATGTTATAGAGCACCAAGGATTAACAATGATGACTTTGTAACTTTGGAACAGAGTTATTCTAATAAGTTATGCTAGCTATATCTGCAACTACAGTTAATCATATACATATAACTACAGTTATATTAACATTATGTTTGAAGTTATACCAACTTATGATACTATACTTTTACTAATTTGAAATTTGTTTATTGTAGGGTGGAAGATGTCAGGGATGACATGTACAGTTTCAACGGAGAAGGATATGCTGTTAAAAACAGGGTCTCTTCAGGACCATACAACAAATATACCTTTGAACTATCTTTCAATTTCCGAACTTATGACGAAAACGCCCTACTGTTTCTAGCTATAAATCCAAACAACGTATGCAACCTTTCTAAAAATCAGTATTAAAATAGAGTAATTAGGATAAAGTTACCTAACATGAAGACCTGTCTTAATATAACCTAGCTTATGTTAGAGAGCTTACAAAAGGTGTAGAGATGTTCTTTCATTTTATAACTAACTGTATATGTGTGCATATGTTCTACATAATGTGTTCACATTAGCGTATGTGTGCACTCCACACCATTGGCTTTGAACACAATTAAACATCTTTAGCAATTAAATTTATCAAATATATTACAGAATGTTTCTGAACTAATTTGATTAAATTTGTCCCTTAACAATACTCAATAATTTGAATAGTTTAATCTTTCTTAATCTAGAGTTATAATTTAAAAAAGAAGTGGGTCTCATTAAAAGACTTTACCCTAATGTTAAAAACAAAGTTATAGCTAAAATTGAACACATTTTCTTGCAGAACCAACACATCATGATCTTCCTTCAAGAAGGAAAAGTAGTTCTACATATTGGTTACGGTAGCAATGTAAGCATGGTGATGTCTTCGAAATCCAAGTATAACACCGGAAATTGGACAAAAGTGACCGCGACTAGACAGTACCAGCTTCGTAAGAACATCGAGAAGTGTAGTTTGAACGTTGCAAATGACGCGTACAACAAGATCGTTGTACCTACACCTCAGCCCAAAAAAGAAGACATTCCTGACTTGCTTCAGGCTAAATATTACTTCGGAGGTGTCCCACCGAGTTTTCGGGCTGAGAAACTTATGTTACCTTCGCAAGTTTCATTTCTTGGGTGCATGTCTGATATTAGGGTTGGACAGGAAGGCTATAATCCTATGGATGAACAGTTTTATGGCGTTGAACCTACTTGTGCAAACAAAGTAAGTTAATAAGGTGATATAATTAGGGTGAACAAAATAAAAGAAGCATATAAAGATTAAAGAAAATGTGAAATATTTTTTAATATGAGCTTCTATTGCTATTATGAAAATAGTGTGTTATTATGGAAACAATGATTTGCAAACACTATTTATTATATTAATTTGCTATTTCTGTGTGTGACTTTTGTACGTGTAGAAGTGATAGATATGTGACGTGCAATCGAGAACACTATAAATAGTTTTCTTAATTTGAAGTTTTTTAAGTTATATATTTCTAAATTTTCAAATCTTCAAATTTCCGAGATTCGACATTTGTCAAACTCTTCGATCACAAAATTTCCAAATTCTCAAATTCCTGAAGCTCCAAATTTTTAGGATCAAATTCTCAAATTCCTGAAGCTCCAAATTTTTAGGATCAAATTCCACAAATTTCTGAGACACCCTTAAGTACCCAAATTTTCAGAAACATATTATATCTTAAGATGTCGAAATCTCATAATCCAAAATTACCAAATTCCCAAGTTTTTAAAATTGTAGTCTATTCTCTAAATATATTCTCAAATCCATCAGTTCTTAAATCCCCAAATTCCAAAACTTAAAATTCTTAGGATCCAAAATTTCCAAGATCCTAAATTCTAAAGTTTACAAATTTCCAGAACTCCAAACTCTCGCATCCCTAAATTTCAGTTTTAAAACTGACTATTATATATTGTTATTATTTATTTTTTATGAAACTTTAATTATACAAAATTCTTGCCTTTTTTACAGCCATTGAAAATAGTTGGATTCTATGGAAATGGTTATTTGGAGCATTCGTCTTACACGCTTCGTAAAATAAATTCCACGGTGAGCTTCTCTTTTAGAACAATGCAATCAGAGGCTGCACTTCTGCTGTCAACGTTCGAAGGACAAGAAGAGCGGATAAATAACATACGACATGGAAACGAAGAAGTCACTGTATGTAAAACTATTAATATTATTATTTGCTTTTTGTTTTTCAATTTTTATATTCCAACATTAACTTCATTTACAGTAGAACAACTTTCCTTTTTTACATTTAGGACATATTGAATTAGTTGTTCTTATAATAATTGCAAGAGATTGTATTGTCAAATTGTATGATTGTTATATTGTCGCGTTTAATAGTAGACTTTCGTTATATTGCCGCAGATGAAACTGCAGCGACGGAAAGTTTTACCAACAACAAGTATTATTAACAATAAAAAAGTAGTAGTAGTAGTAGTAGTAGGAAGTATTATTAACAACAAGGAAGTCTGTGTAGCAGGAAATGAATTGAAATGGTAATATAACGACAGCCTGTTGCATTAAAGTATTAAAAGATATAATTAAAAATTTGTTATCATACTACTTTGAAACGTTAAGAGTTCATGATAGATATTTAATATCATATATTAAAATATTATAAATTGAATCTAGAAATTTATTTTTGTACTACCGTAAAGTATTAAGAGTCAACGTTAGCAATTTATTATTACACTACATTAAAATATTAAAAATTGACGCTAAAAATTTATTATCATACTATATTAAAATATTAAGAGTTAAATAATAGAAAATCATAATATATTAAAATATTATAAATTGACTCTAGAAATTTATTATTGTACTACATTAAAATATTAAGAGTCAACACTACCAATTTATTATCATTCTACATTAAAATATTAATAATTAACACTAGCAGTATATTACTACAAACTTAAATTCGATTTTATTCGATTTTTTCAGAGAGACAATTATTATTCAGTTTGCATAATAAACGGACAAGTACAGGTACGCTTGAACGCCGGAAGTGGAGAGTTAATTTTACAATCGAACGATACTTTTAACGATGGAAGGTATCATTCGGTAACAATAATTAAAAAACGGAAAGACGTCGAGTTGCGAATAGACGATGCTTATCAAAGCGCAGGAAGACTACCAAGAAGCGCCGCCATTAAGGCTCCTGAAGGAAGTGGAGGACTTTTCTTCGGAGGACTGCCAATACTCATCAATAACACCAAAATGATTTCTACCACTACTCCTTTGTACGGTGCAATCAAAGACGCGATATTTAACGAGGAGTAAGTAAAATATCTAACTTATCAGTGATTCAAATAAAAATTCTATTAAGTCCAGATTAAATGACTGATTCTGAAATATCAAGAGTTTGATGCGATTTGATGAGATATAGATACTACGAAAAAGAATTCCTGATGCATTTGAAGAGTAAATTTTATTGAAAATGTTTATGCAAACTTTTCATAAATATTTTTTAATTCATTAGTTAATTAACTAGCTGTTTGTAAGATTATTTTGTCGATTACCTTGTGTAATGCACAATGAGATAGTTATTTAACAATTTAAGAATTTACATTTAAAATATTAACACTTTAATGGCATCAAAAATCATCTCAAGAAAATCTCATAGCGTCAAAAATCTCTTCTCAAGAAATTACTCCCATAAAATTTCAAAATTTATCTACCAGACAAAAGTCGCAGCTTACATAAACTGGATGCAAACTTATATTAATCAACATTAAAATGAAACCTATGGATGCTATAGATATTACATATTTTAGTGTATTGTTTCATTTTGCTATCAAACAACATGTGTACAATCACATACTAAGAGATGTTACTCAAGTCAATTCATATGTAGATATAGACTACATTCCAATTTGATTTTATCCAAATTAAGCACCTTTATCCTACCAAAAATTAGTTATAATTGAAGACTCATTTTTCCAGAATCATTCGATTTAACGAAGTCGTGAGTTTCGACCATGCGTTGATTGGTCGTCCTGGACCAAGCATGGGAAAAGATCCTCCTACTTACACACCATCAGCATCTTTATCCAGAGGACTATCCACTCAACCGGAAGGTTGTCAGAAAGTTCCATATTACTCGCTGGAACCTGGTGCTCTGAAATTCGGAGACAAACCAAACAGTCACACTCAGCTTTATCTAAATTTTAAAACATTCTGGAAGAAGAAATATGCGATCGAGTTCGATTTCCGAACGTATTATCCGAATGGACTCTTGTTCATCACTCCAGTACGTAAAAAGTTATTCGTATAAAAGTTTGCAATGTATTCAGACAGTTTAGGAGTCCAAGAGAAAACGATTATAGTTTATTCTAAAAATTTAGATTTTAGCAACACATACTAGAACTCGACAGAAATTATCAAATTGTAGTATGTTCAAAGAAAAAGAAATTATATTAGTCTTGCAAGTAAGGAGCTAAAGAATTGTAAATTCGGGAAAAAATGATTATTGTCAGAAACTGTTAATAGAAAAATGGTTAGAGTCCAACTTGATAATTAAAATATGTGATGAAAGGAAAGAAAAAATAAACTGAAAAGTAAAATGATAGATCAGTAGAAAAATATTTGTAGTAGTAATGTTTCAATCTCTTTCATTGTTTAAGTACTTTACATGTTTTCAGTGATCTTCTTCCTCTCTTTTATAAATGAGTTAAGTTAAATTCATAAAGAATCTTTCAAATATTAAAACTTTATCTTTCTGTAACTATGATCGTTTTTTTCTTGGGCTACAATTTATTACAAGTCAGTGTAAAAACTGCATTGTTATTTCAGAGTAATAAACCGAAACACTACCTCATGGTCGTAATACGAGACGGTCAGCTTCTGCTTTTGGTGAAGAGCAAGCAGAAGAAAGAAATCTTATTCAAAACGCCGTTCAATGACGGCAATTGGCATCATGTCGTGATCAGTCACAATGAAAGGAAACTAACGTTACTGGTGGATGCGCAAACACCCCGAACCATCAAAGTACCGAGAAAAATTGGATTAGAGACTATGATGTACATTGGAGGACTTCCCGAAAGCGGAACAGCGATACCTGAACAAGTTGTGGTTAAATTAGAGACCTTGAAAGGATGCATTAGAGGTTTGAAGGTCAATGGAAACGTATACGACATGGTTGGTTCCACAAGCAGGGCTTATCATGTGGGACAATGTTTCCCGAACGTTGAAAGCGGGGCTTACTTCCAGGATGAAGCATATGCCATATATAGTAAGAATTACAAATACATTTTAAAAACCTAAAAAGGCATTATACCATTTTAACTGAGATACTCAGGACTTTCAAACTAATCTTTGTATATAATATTTTAAGTCACTTCCATGATACAAGTATAGTTTAAAAATGACCTTTTCTTTTTCAGAAAGAAACTTCGAACTGGGTGCCGTGCTAGAACTTCAATTAGAATTCAGAACGTCAGAGTTATCGGGTGTGTTGCTTTCAATTACAGCGCCCGGTAATTCACCCTCATTATCATTGGAACTGAACAATGGTAAAGTGATCATGTCAGGCGATCTGGGAGACAACAATCCGTTGTATGTAGAGCAACGTTTCACTAGTCCATACACGATCTGTGACAATCGATGGCACAGAATACAAGCGGTTTATAATGATGAAGAGTTGGCACTGAAAGTTGACGAAATGGACCAAAAGTATGGCCTTCCAACTAACGTCAATTACCATATAATGGACTCTAAAGTCTCTGGACCCCTTTACATTGGTGGCTTGCCAGGTGAATTCCCTTTTATTCGACTCCTTTAGTATATAAACTAAATTCCTTTACGAGAGTATTAAGCTTTATTAAATATTTACCTTTATGTTTGATATTAAACAGTTAACCTATGATCTGATACTGTCAAAATTTGTATACTTTACTTACTCAAAACCAGATGATATATATTTTTCAACAAAATTATTTCAAAAAAGTATCTTGAGAAACACAGTAAAAATAAGGATAGTAAAAAAATGACATTCATATGTTAAAAATTAAAAATATAAAATATGTCTTACATATTTTCACCAAGATATTTGAAGATTAATATTATATCATATGTAAAATCATACATATCATGTCTGGAACCATATGTATTATATCTAGAATCATACATACTGCATCTAGAGTCATACATACTGTATCTACAATCATACGTACTGTATTTAGAGTCATATTGTATGTGAAACAAGATACTTCTTTTCTAAACGTTATACATAAGTGTTTATTTCTTGTTCAAATTATAGTCAAATAAGTTTAGCTATGTACTTTATACAATATGAATATGCAATGCAATTAGTCTTCAGTTTTGTAAATAAAGATTATTTGTAATGTTTCAGCCTCCGCTCCAAAAGGAACACTGATAACAAGGGATCACTTCAATGGATGCATAAGAAATGTAATGATAGGGGGAGAGAGAAGAGATTGGACAGACATGGACGAATTGCATAATATTCACCTGAGCTCCTGCCCAGTACAATGATAATCAGTACAACGTGTGAACTCCTCCGAGTTGTTCAATTTAGTTCCAAAGACTGTTCAAAGGACGCACAATACTCGAAACGTTTTTCATGAAGTGTGTTCAATACAATTTCACACCAGGATCAAGTGCCATATCGTGATGGGAAATTTGTAATTGTTAAGAAATAATATAAAACCAAGCCAAAAGATGCTAACATGCAAAGTTATTTACATCAATGTTTCTCAAACTTGTTTCTTTATTGCTGCAAAAATTGTGAATATAAAAAATTACTAAAAATTTTGTTTCTGTTATATATAAAAAGAAATCAAGTTAAATATTTACAATTTGTATAAAGTAATAACTTCTTATTTATGTGATTATTTATATTTTGAAAATAGTAAAAACTGTAAAGTATAAATTTATATTATTTCTGTTTTTCTATTGCAGCAAATTAATTGATCTTAATTTAATTAGTAGATTTCTATCCATCACAGTATTTCAAAGTTGGAAAATGTTCGTACATACCATTAAGAAGCAATAATAAAGTACAAACAATTCGTTGCACTTCATATTGCCATTCCAATAGGTATTTTAATGATAATATTTATGACAATATTCTGGAAGTATGCTAATAAACGAAAAATATCATTCTCACACACGCACACACCTACACACATACGTCACTGTGACTTTCATCAGAAATGAAATTCAAAATTGTCGTAATGCTTTATAAAATAAATATGCAAATAAAATTATTAAAAAACAATGTTGCAAGGCATAGTTTGAGAAACGAATTTACAAAAGCATTCAACAAATTATGGCACAAATTCGCACCGAGTTGTATCCGTAGAACCGCTATAAAAAAAGCAAATATCACGACATATCTGTAAGTAGCAAGATCACTGCCATATAGTTTAATTGTAACTCATTTGTAAGTCACAAAGCAATTGTACATCAGTATTTAAAGCTATTTATTATTACTTATGTAAGCGCAACCGACGATTTTGATCGAGCACACAGCCATGGGATAATGTGCTCGATCGAAATCGTATTTTAAAAAAGAAAAGGAAATAAGGTGAAACGAGACGAGAAAATATTTTGTACTTTTCTAGCGATAGTAAAAATATCGAGTGTTTTAATATATTTAAGGCGATTACAGGGCCGGCATGATTGGGTTCCCCTAAACTTGACACCATGTTTTAAAAGATCCATGAAAAATTTGTCATAAATTTTTCAGGACTTCAGTATGGGTACTTAATTTACAAACGTTTTGGGCTTTAAAACGTTTGAAGGTCGGAGTCATTAAAGTTTGAAATGTTCAGAGATTCACTGCCAGCTAAATAAATAGATGAAATGGGCAATAACTTAAGGCACGGGTGGCAAATCTTTTTATGTACGTTATATAAAATTACAAATGAACAGTTTTTAAATTAATAGAAAAATAATTATTGTAAAATTGTATTGAAATGATTTTAAAAATTAATATAGAACTTCGTAAACATGAAGTCATAACTTGCTGTATATGTTATGATATCAAATTGATACAAATTGGTATCAATTATCTATTAATTAGGTTTTTGTTGTTTTACATTGGATATTTTGTCATTTTTAATAATACATGCCCAACTAAATTCATTATTCGCTTATCAAAAACATTTTCTGGTTAATTAATGAAACGTGTCAACTCTTGCAAAGTTGCGTATATGGTTACTAAACTACTGTGCATCACAAATTTGAAGCTTTTTGAATTTTAATCATTCCAATCTGCAAACATGTTCCAATCTTGAATCCGCGCAACAAACGTATTAAACTTGAAATGTACATGCAATATGTTTCATTTGACTCTGTATAATTTGATAAGGTGGTTCCAGAAGTGTTCACGCCGGCCCTGGGCAATAAAGAAGGAGAAGTCATATCCAACGCCCTGTAAAGTGTCCTTAACAAATTAAGCGATACGTCGTGTTAGGGAGAGACCAAGTTCTGCACAGGAATATTTTAATATTTATATCTAGTATTTTTTTCTTCTTATTCGTTGAATTGTAATATATTATACATATGCAGAAAAATTAACAATGACGCCTCCGCTATTGTGTATAAAATATATAACAATGAGAAAGTATGGTCATCTAATTCACCCTCTTCTGTACTCCAAAAGTTATTATATATATACATTTACATTACACAACCAATTAAGACAAAGAAGACACACTTAGTTCCATATATATATTATATATAATATTATTATTCGCAAAAGAATAAAAGTCTATTGCAAAGTGGGTTATTAAATTTTATTGATGACATATTCGCTGCAAGATCGCTAACAGTAAAATATGACCCAAATTTTACTTGACGTACTCAATAAATATATGTATCATCGAGTAGTAGTTTCATTTATGCATATATAAAAACATAATATTTACAGACATGGATAAATCGAACAAGTGTACGATTCGATAAAGTTTTTCCAGTTTTTTTCTTTTTTCATATACTTCATCTTTCCTCGTGACAATAAAAATCAAGGATTATTACGTAAATGTAATTGTTTATTATTAGTAAGCGCGATTATTTATATATGTATATCCCGTTTTTTTCGTAATTATCTCTGCGTTTCAATTTTCGTTTCGTTTATTTTTCACGCCGGTTACCAACAGCTCACTAATAATATTTCTCTGCTTCGAAAAATATAAATATCAAGCACAAGCGCCGATTACTTCATCCTTTCAGCTACAATTGTTATGTATCCCTTTCTTTGTTTCGAACCTTCTATTATTTGTAACTTTCTTATAATATTTCAAATCCCTTTCATTCGCAAGCCGATTTTCTGGTTGATTCTTAAGATTAGTGACTACTATATAAATATCGTTTATCATAATCTTCATTCATCGTTCGTTTATAGTTGTCATCGTAGACTTTGCCTACGACTTTCGCCTCCACTCTTTACAACTTCATCTTATGGCGTTTAATTTACTTTTACTCGTGTTCAATATTGTCAGGTCGGACTATTTTCGGAGTCTGAAGCTCGCAAACGTTTTTCTCTTCTATTCATTTTTTTTTACGACAGTACGTAAATAGATTTACAATTAGACGAGAATAGAATAACGAATTTCTTTGGATACTACAATCGACGGATCATCTTTTTTAACAATTTTTCTCGAGCCCCAAACTGGAGACAAAATAAATCTTAGGGCGATCGAACCAAGTGTATCATTGCGAATTAAAAATATATTTTCGTTTGCGATTAATCGTTATGAACATGAATTTCGATATGTTGCATAATTACTTAATAATTAATAATAATACGGTCCTGTTGTGTTATGCCATCGTAGAATACAGGGGGTCTTTCGTTCGAACGAACTGATTTTCCACTGTTTTCCCTCAAAATTCTTGGTGTACAAGAACGAATAGAAAATTAACCCTTTGTGGTGGAAATATGCTTCCTAGACACGAGCGTAGTTATTGCCAGAGATATTTGTTAACTTTGGAAACCTCAGCAAGAAAGAAAAATTCTTAAATTTCTATCGTTCTGCATTCTAAAATGTTCGCGGCAGTAGTCGGCGCATTATTTCGAATTAAATTAAGCTGACCGCAAAAGGTTAATAAAGTCTGCGACACACACGTTGAATATAATTTAAACGAAAACAAACGGAAAATTCTTTAATATAGACCCTCCATAATTCTGTACAAAATCGTATTTTATATTTCTATCTAACGTCTATCCATTCCTTCTATCAATATATTGCGACAAACGAATTGCTGTGTACGCATTAAAAAGAAAAAATAATAAAGATCGAATCATGGAAGTGGAAGGGTTAGTGCCAGTCCTACACGAAAGGCGGACATTGTAATTTATGGCACAATAAATAGTTCTTCCCGTTAACATTATTATGCTAATTAGTCATCATGTACAATACAAGAGGCGCGTGTTACATCTCGCTGGAAATTGGACTGACACGTTCCATTAGGAAATGACACAAACCATACTAAATAAGGAGAACAATTGCCAGCTGGAGAACGAAGGATATACAGGGTGTTTCGAAACACACAACAATTTCAGATGGAAAGAAATATAATCGTAAATGACAAATGAAATTTATTTACGTCAATAACTATCTCAAATAAACTGTAATCACAGTTGAAAATTTTAAGCGTTCCGTTTGAAGCACCCTGTATACTGTCGATAAAACTCGTAAAAACGGACGATTAACGAACTAACGAACGCTTTAGTTCGCTTCTTTAAAATTTTTCATACGTTACGCACGGCCGGTGCTAGGCTTTAAAGGGCACAAAAAAACTTTATCGAAAATTTTGTGGGGTTACATAGCATTATAGTACTAATAACATTTATAATTGTCCTGAGCTTGTAGCATTTTAAGCATCAAGAGCTTAGAATTAAATTTCAAAAACCTTTGCAGAAGCATTCCAAGTTTGTTCAAAGCTTAAAATGTCTGAAGTTTAAAGTATCTGAAGCTTGAAGGGTTCCAAGTTTGAAGCATAGCAAGTTTTCAATAAACCTGAAGTGTTTCAAGTTTAAAGCGTTCCAAATTTGAAACATTCCAAGTTTTTAATAAACCTGAAGTGATTCAAGTTTGAAGCATTCCAAATTTGAAACATTCCAAGTTTAAAGCATTCCAAATTTAAAGTGTTCTAATTTCAAAGCATCCCAAATTTGAGGTTATCTAATTACAAAACATTCTGATTTTAAATATGCAAATAAATTGCTTTTGGCCCCGCAAAATTTTGATACCTAAATTTGCAATATTCACGTCGGCCCTGTCGCTACGATGTTTATAAATAAATTGTTAATTCGTTCACGAGAAACGCAGACTATGGACTGTCGTATTAAAAACATTTAGGCCTAGGAAATTGAAATAAATATTAATTTTTGTTAAAAATCTGTGCACACGTCGACTTTGTTATAACGGGTACTTTCATCCCGCGCCATTCTCTGCCTTCCTCTTACAACGCTCTAATATCAGAGTTCAGTGTCCGATACATTATACAAAATAAGTATGAATTGCGCACAAAAAATAGAAAACAGAGAGCGTCTGATCGAAAATCTCACCGGTTCTTTTAGCCATCTTTTTTTATACATGGACAACACTTATCAATTACCAAAATTCTCCTAGGAGAACGAATTTACTTTTGGTACAGTTTTTCAATGGTTTCTCATACTCTCCTGTGTCCTGGTATGTTTTACAAATGGAGATAAAAAAAGAATGTTGTACAAACATAAGCGTATATTTTGTTCAAAAGTTATAACGTGGTAAAACTTTATTTATGAAGAATAAATCCCTAGTTATTCCACATTTTCATTGTAACTTTTTAATAAAGCATTCATAAGCCGATGTTTGTACGACAGTATTTTTCTTACTTCTACCAGGACACTCAGTATATCTAACACACTTCGTAAAATTCGCTTCGAAATTTAAAGATCAATGCGACATTATATAAATTATAGTGTGTACCTACACCGTAAAGAAAATCATCCTTGCACAACATCGATTGCATTCAGATCGATCTTAAGGCTGATTTGGTATTCTCTTTCACTAATCAGAATCAACATAATTATTTACAAACCCACATTTTTTCTTTTTCGTTTTTTAGTCCGTGAGCTGGTTCTTACACGCTTTTATTTAAAGAACGAATTACACCTACAAACGTTGCTGCAACCGTCAACAGCTGCAAATCTCAATACTTTATGAGGAATCATTAATTCGGTTTAAAAAGTTTACATAAAGGAAAAGAAAATTTCACGATATAAAAAATGAAGAAATTTTTGGACGAAACATTATTAACCTGTTAAGGAAAAAATAAATTAATTCACTCAGATACAAAGCATGCAAAGGTAAAAAATATCCGCAATTAAATAGTTAAACTATTTTCTCCTTTATTACACACACGAGAAGAAAAATTAAAAATATTCCTAAGTTAACAGGCTAAATCATTTAATTAAAAAATTTATATACTGAATTTATAGTGAAAGAAATAATTTTTATATGAAGTAAGCATATCACTTAGTGTTTTCAGTTTTAAAATATTAAATAAGCACTAATTAAATACAAAGATTCGAAAAATTTGGCTATTCAAATTAATGATCCTCCATTTATGTTTATCGATCTGTAAAAGTCAATGCTATAATAATAATAAGAATAAGAATAATGATAATTAAGAATTTTTAATTTACGCGTAACGGGGAAACATGTGCGAATTACTTAATGCAATACAAATACGAAACATTCGTTTTACATGACATTTATGAAAGCCCTGCCTCTCTTAGCGATGAGAATTATTAAAAAAAAAATTAATACCTTTTAACATCAGTCACATGTTTCATTTACAACACAGCAGCTTACAAGTCGAAAGTTAGTCCGCAAAGGTATTAGATACTGACAACAAACCATTCCTATTAATAGATATTGGTAAACCTTACGACACGGTGATTGATGCCAACGTTAAACTTACAAACGAAATAAAACAAAACAAAAACAAAAAGAAAAAGAGAACAAATGACAAACGAAAGGATGTAATTGGGGTAACGATACGCCTTTTTAAGTATAGCATGAAATCGCGCCAAAACACTCGAATTGAAGATTGCACATTCGTCTCTCTCTGTACGAATCAGCATCAATCATTTGCCTTTTATAAAATTGACTAAGAACGCAACGTTTTGCATTAATTTAATATGGGCCTGTATTAAAATAGTAACTATGAACAACAAAGGGCATAGTAGCATTAATGTTAAGTGTGACACTTGTGTAAAACTATATGACGAGAGGCATGTCTTTCTTGTTCGGCAAATTCACCTTCTTGCCCTGCCAAAGGCTATTGTGTATCGTAAAGGCATCTATGGTTACGGTCAGATGCTTCGTGTGAACTTGTGAAAAGCATTTTCCTCCCGAATTGTATCTACAATCAAAACAATACATTTACATTACAAACTATATTAAAAGAAAATTCAGTATAATTTCTTATTCTTTAGTTTCCCTCTTCTGATTCATAGTATATAAAGGAACTTAAATAGGAACAGCTATCCTTGTTATTCATAGTTTTATAAAAAAGTTACACTATTTTAAGAAACATATATGATACAGCAATTTTTTTCTAAACTCTTAATACTTTCTCAAGGTCATTTTTGCAATAGTCAATATTGTATATAAAATCTATTAATCTTAGTAATTAGTCACTACACGCATTTTAATTATTATATCTATAACTCCTTTTCTAAAATATTTTATTTCTGAAAATGTCTCTAACTGTCTACACATATAAGCATCTAATACGCACACATAGAATATTAAAATTGAATAAGTGATTAGATCAGAACTAACATTTATAATAAAAATGTCTAATCTCTGCAATCTATTATATAATACATTTTGAAGTAATAAAGAATTTATATTAATAAAAAGAATTACCTTTGATTTTACCTAAAAGTGTATTCACGATAAGAACAAGAGTAGGAAAATGATAGACTTACTTGAAAAATTTGTCGAACATTTTATCAATGACTTGTTTCGGTCCAGTACCGTACAATTTAGATACTTCTTCTCTATCAGGGCAATACGAATAAAGAGCCCGGAATTGGCAGCCAGCATCTCGAAATAAAATAAGGAAGTGCTTGCTTTCCGATCTTGCAATCTCGTCTAAAACTCTTCTTTTCGCTTCTTTGTTTACTGTACCAGGAAACACACAGTATTCAACGGCGTTTAACATAATTCCACGATTCGACTTCGTCGTTGGTTGTTTATATAATCTTGGACCTGTTGAACAATATTGATAATGAGTTTTTGAAATTCTATACAATTTTTATGATAGTCTTATTAGCTTACAATGTCATAAAGACTTCTCAAATTATAAACCTAGACACACATAAAACATTTACAAAGAACTAATTTTAGATTCATCTATAAACATGTGCTATACAATTAAGTTTTACTATTTACAAAAATATTGAAGTTTTACAAGTTACAATAATATTTTTCAATTTTAATAAAATTTTGATTACTTCTTGTTGAACTTAAGTGCTTGTTATTAAAAACAACTGTTAATTTATTATAATGTTCTATGTCTAATTTATAAGCAGAATTGAAACTGATCTACAAATATTTGAACTCGTGCAAAACAATGTTGATCATAGCTTTTAACCGGCTGTGTAGTCGGTTGGATAAGGTTAGATTTAATATGGTTAAATATAAAATTATATTAAAAGCATATTTTATAATAGGGGACTAAATCTTATTGAAACTTTAACATTAAATCTGTACCTGAATGCCAGACTAATCCAAGTCCATTTTTGTGTTTCTCTGTTTAATCAATGTTCATACAAGGAATTTGTAAATGCACTTGCTTTTTACCTTTCTTGAAAAGTAGCAAAAATGGACTTGGATTACCGGTTGTCAGGTAGAGAAGTATCTTGTAAACTACTGATCATCCACACCTAAAATTATATACAAGGAAAGTTATAACACAACTTGTTTGCAAAAGTTCTTTTAAATCTGAGGGAAATATTTAGGGTAATATTTATTCACCGTTATAGTCCATCATTGAACTTGGTGTGCTACTGATGTCACTGCTACCATCATCAAACACTCGTCTCTTAGTCATCAAACCAGGAGGTAGAGATCCAGGTCCCGATGGCGAAGGAAGATGCCTCATGCTGCCCATGCCCGGACTCGGTGCTCTCCTCGGTGGTGTTGCTCTGCCCAGGCCGCTGTCCGTATCTGTGTATCGACACATCATACCGTCTTGATCACTACTCGAACCTGCGAACGCAAGCTCAGTAATATGAAGATAGAAATAAAAAAGAAAAGGTTCGAACGTACGTGTCCGTTCACGATAAAGGACTAGAGATACGGATCTTCAACGGTCAGTCGATGATAACACGTTTACCCATCCAAAAGCAAGAATAAATTTAAACGAGGTAATTCTTTCTTTCTGTTGCATTAATTACTAACGGTTAGTTCCTCATATATACCGAGAAATATTAGTCACTTGTTAGACTTACAAAGGACCTTCAAGAATATCCATCTTCATAGCTTGCGTCCAATATAAAATGATCATCCTTAACATATATATTGATATCGCACGAACAGTAAGGATCAAGACTCTCTGATTCTATTTGTTAATCTATTTTATTACAGAACAGAGGATATTGTTTTCTAATACGATCTAGTAAGGAACTATTTATCAGGAATTTTGACGATTTACACCGGACCTCTATTCTCATCTAAGACTTTATAACGCGCGATTGGACAAATTTGCTTGTAATGAAACACATGATTGCTATGTGACAATTCTGTGATCTTAGGCGAACAAATAAAGCATAGCAAGCTCATTCCAATAATTACAGTATAATTTATTGCTTATAACTACAAACGCTTGAAATGTTCAAGAAATAAATTTAAAAGTAGAAAGTTCACATTGTGGATGAACTTGCTATGCCCAATTTCCATAATACCTGGAAATAAAAAGAGAAAGGAACGACAGAAAAAATACATATCCAACATAAGTGATAGGATAACCATATGATACAGGACCTAAATGTGAGTCAGAGTGAAAGGTTATTATAATGGAAACTGGAACCACCAACAATAATCTGAAAAATACACTGAAAAGTATCCGTACCCACAAACCAGTGCTGTACAACAATAAGCCCAACCAAGCATCAACTTAATCTTATCTACTGCCAGCGAATGAGTTATCCTGTGAATGAGAATCAAAATTCCATCTGTTCTTGATCGACAAGCAATAAAAATCATGCTTGATACAATTGTCATTTATGCTTACAGTCTTTTACTTATGCTTCATTTACATTTATGCTTTAAAATAACGTAAAACAAACGTAGGCAGACAGAATTTTGAATACATAGATAATAAATGTGCTGTTGGTGTATGCGTGTAAGTTCACTGCCACCTGTGCTCCGATCTGCCGACATGCGACTACGTGTATGCTATTATAGCCTACAAAAAATTGGAACGGTGTACTTGACACGTAAAAATACTGTTGCACGATAGAAGGGGGAATTAAACGTATTCCAAGTCACTGGTGCTTCTTACCACACAAATTCATCAAGGAATTAGACTTTCTCCCCTTAAAGTTTTGGTAACTCGGGTATTTAGGCCTGCCTCTAACCTGTTGCTGAGGCTCCTGCACATCTGCAATAATGCAATGTTTACCTTGTTACATTCCAAACGCTATGTACGATCAAAGATTAAATAGTAGGGGATGCTTCAATCGTACGTCATTGCATCAGGGGGCAGAGTCTAACTACGAGCCATGTCCATTAGGAACATCAAAAAACTCAAGATAGCTGGTGCAGGTTGGTGCAGAAACAATGTTGCGTTCCAACTGAAAGAATCTACTAATAAAAGGCGCTACTTATAAAAAATAAAGTAATATACCCTTAAGTAAACCTTACTTAGATAAATCTGAAGGATAATCAAACACTAATGAAATATTCAACAACTGTAAGATTGATACGGTAGCTGCCCATACCAGTGATACATCCTGCAACGAGTCTACTTTCATCAAGCCAAACGTTTAAGGAACATGATACGGCATTCTTACTAGGTATAATGAATAAACCCACCTCTGGACGTTTTGTAGGAACCACGTCGACCAAGTTGATTCATACTTCGGCAAGGGGAGGAACCTCTACCGTCGTCGGGCGAATCTACGGAAGATACTAAAATAGGGTACCTCTATTACAATCAGTTAGTTCTTCTCCAGGATGATACTAGATACTATCATGTTTTTATAATATGTAGCTACAACATTACACTAATTGACAGATAGTTAAATTAATCGAAGCATGCAAAATATAAAACAAAGAAGTGCCATGATAGATCATTCATATAACGAAACTTATTAATTTTGAAAAAAATGAATGAACACAATGTTATCGAATATTTGCCAATTTAACTATTTAGTATAATGTGTTACGCATGATTTATGAATTTACTCTGAATGTTACTTGTTATTAACCCTTTCACTATGGCAACAACCAAAAATGATATCTAATCAAATTCTTTCAACTTATCACTTCATTAGAAATACGTAATTTAGGAATTTGTTATACACAATGAGTGATTATAACCAGTATCACTATTAGTGCCGGATAAACGGGACATTTACTCTAGTCTCCTGTGTTTAGAGACCTTCATACAGATTAAATAAATTAATGTACATTGTTTTTGTAAACTGAGGACAACTATTTTTGTTCTCGATTTACGGAAACAATGTGCCACTGGGTTTTGGACATTGAACACGTAAAAACTATAACAGTAAGTTACATGTATTAATCGTTGTATTAGTTCAGGTTAGTGTTGAATTAGTTTTGGATTAAGTTTGTCACAATTAAATCCTCACATGAGGATTTTTATCCCGGATTCAGCAAACTGCAATGGTGGTTCTGATTATAGGCACCTATAGTATACAATAATCACTCAATGGTGGTTGAATATAATTGTACCTAACGAAAGGGTTAAACATTAAGCAAAACTATAAGCAAAATATTTTCATCAGTGAGCGTAATCATAGAATGATTCTTTATATTTGAACTTCATCGATTTAGTTTTTCGTATGCATTCTTATTATGACAAAAGCTCACATATATGTGATGTATCAGATACAAATGCGAGTCAGAGAGTGTGTGTTGTGCATACCCCTGAGACTGCCGCCCCGATAAAGAGGGCCGGAACGTCGTTCATCGAAATGGGCAGCAGTGAGACTGTCCTGCGAGCCTCGGTAGTAGTCTCGCCTCATCGTCGGGGAGGTCAGCGACGCTACAGTAAGTGTGTTAGTGCAAAACAATCAGCTCGAATTTTCTTCACTATTCTAGTTTAGTCGAACGAGTCTACGAAATGTACGAGGTCAATGATGGTTCGTTGACGGTCTCATTTTAAATTAATCGACTGATAAACTAGCAATAGCCAGAGAAAATTTGGAGCGTGTGATTTGTGAATTGGGTGAGATCTTATTAAAAAAAAAAAGAAAAACAAATACAACAAAAATCAATATGGAAAAGACGGCGGTTACTAAAATAAAATAAAACTTTCTCGACTCGAATCTTCGCCATGCAAAGAGTAAATGCAATTACATTACAACATTGAGAAACTATATTAGAAGATTATAACAAAGGAATACACTCGTTACGGTAGCAGTGGTAACTGTTATCTTGGAGATAAAGATATACGGCGTACTGAGCTATGTCATGTAAATATATGTAAACATTAATCGTCTCAACTACACCTATATGCTACTTAATGTATGTTCACGTCTGTACGATTGATCTCCAAGAATTACTGATCACACTACTTACACTACTAAATCACGTTACGTCCATTCTCGTACCTGTACTTAAATTAGAAGAAGAACCCTTTTTCCCGCGACTAGGTGTGAGAGCTCCAGAATCCAAATCCGCACCGGCATCCACATGAATTGTCTTGGGTCGTGGTCGGGTTGTAGCAGTCTTATTTCGCAATTTTGTCGGTTTTATCGCATTTAGAAGCTCTTTATCGATAACTTTTCCCTAAACAACAATAACTACATTTAAACAACTCAACAAATATTGACTACAAAATTTAGAAAGAATACACACTTCTCTTTCCGCTTCCTCTATCGCCTTTTTTACTTTATGTTGCTCCAAAATAGCCGCTCTTCGTTGTCTTTCCTCCTCCTTTTTACGAGCTCTTTCCTCAGCTTTCAATTTCTCTTGTTCGCGACGTGCCTGAGCTTCTGCCTCTTTCCTTTCTTTCATTTCCTCTTGCTGCTGTCTTCTTTGTAGCGACAGTAACATTATACGTTCTTTTTTCCGCTCCATTTCATCCAAAGAGTTCTATGAAAGTAAAGCAGTTAAATAAAGCTGGAATAATAGTTACTGACCAGGTGACACTCATTAGGGACACGTACTGGATCTGGGTTTGCAAGTTGATTTCCGATTATTAAGCCAACTCCAGATTGTCGACCTTCTGCACTAGCTTCGCGTCGCTCTCTCTGCTTTTCTCTCTCCATTTCTCTTTGCAGTTCCCTATCTCGAATTTCTTGTCGCTGAAATTCTCTTTCATCTGCTTGACGTTGCTTTTCTCTATCTAAATCTCGTTGAGCTTCTAGCTGTTTCTGTTGTCTATCGATGGCGCTTACAGATGGCGATTCAGGACGTACCGTGAAATCTTCGTTTTCAACATACGACGATACACTTCTTTCCTGAAAATGATATTAAATAATTGAACTATAGTTTCAGATACCTTTTTCACATCACACTTGGAAATTATTCGACTAATGTTTATGTAAAAATTATTTTAATTCTGTATGAAACTGTATTTACCTTTTTGGGAGATGTTCTTTTCACTCTAAGGGTCGGTTTTGGTTTCTTCGGTGCATCGTTATCAAAGCAAATGTAAAATCCTTTCTCACCAGCATCCGTTGGATCGAGAGGTGTTACCTCTGGCGTACCTGATGGAGATGGTGTGGCTTCTCTTAATGATGGATGAGGTTGAAATGAATTGCGTGATATTGAAGGTCTAGTTGGTGATGGAATTCTATATGTACGGCTGCCAGACGTAATATGTAAACCTCTTATACCTTGTGTAAGCTCATCATCATTTCCTTTAAAACATAATAACGAGTAAACACAACAAACATAACAAAAAAATGAATGAACAATAAAACATAAATTCAATAAATGTTTTGCAAGCGTTATGCATGATAATTTAAAGCAAATGGAAAGATATATATTTACCAATAAATGAGATATTTTGAGGTTTCATGTCGTCAACGGGTGGAGCTGGAACGGGGGCATGTAACGCTGTAACTTGCCTTTTTTCTGTAGGACTTTCACACTTTATTGGTATGTGATGTACAGTCGGCCTTTTTGGTTCAGGGCTTTCACTCATTAACTGACTTATTCGATGAACCTACATAACATAATAAATAATAGAAAATTTAATTTATAATTGGTATATTTTATAATTGATATGTCATTGGTATATTAATACTGTGAGTGCATGTCATGAACACCTGAGTAACGTATAAATTTTTACATAGATGGATCACTTATTTTAAGAGTAATCATTTTACATAATAAATTATAAATAATTTAGTTAAATACGTGGAACCTTATCGAATAAAAAAATGTTCAATATGACAAAAACTAATTGCTAGATTTAATAGAAATAAAATTACCAACTGAAACCTTTTTTAATAATATGATTGAATTAATTTTTAAATAAGATAATAAGTATGATTTTCAGTACTATATTTTTTGTTTTTTAAGCTATAAATTTTACAACACGTTATGATGTTTTCTGGGTTCCACCATCATATGTATGTAACAAAATATGTATATAACAAAAATATATAATAACTACTTACAAGTTATTATACATTGTATATTGTAACAGATACAGTAACTATAAAATAAATATGCACTGTCCAATAATTATAAACAAACAAACCTCATAATGGTAATTATATGAATTACTGATAGTACATGAATGAAACAATCGCATTTTGTTAATATTGTTGATTACAATTCAAAACAAAACGGATAATTTTACAAGAAAATACAAGCACTCAGACGCTGATACTTCGGTGCAGGGAACATCTGCCATACTAAGTGTTAAAGAGTATCTATAAATGTGCATTACATCACTAACTGGTTCCCTGAGTGCTGCTTGCATATATATGTATATATTGTATATAGATATATGACAGCTCATTTACTATGCACCTGATCAAAAAAAAGTGACATCATACGGTCTCAACAACTATATTTGACTTTGTTTTAAATAATTCTCCTCCTTTCCATACTTCGTTTAAAATATAATTATTCTAACCAATGTAAAATTTACAAAATTCAGTAATATATTTTACTTAATCTTTATGAATGTATATATCTGTTAACATTCAGATCACAATATAAACAATTGTAAACATGATACTTACAGCGTTACGATGTTGTGGACTAGCAGAAGATGGTGGTGTTTGATTGAAGATGGATGCAGAAGTTGGATATGTAGAACCAGGGTGACTCATTTGATTATTACAAAGACTATGATCTCCACCATTAAGGTACCTCGGTTCCTGAGGAGTATCGTGCAAAACAAAACCTTTCTGTTGAGGTTGATGCGTTCCCCAATTCCGCGTGTCTTGATATAAACGCATATCTTGCTGATAAGCTACGGATTACGTAATATAAGATAAATTATGAAGTAATTCTATCAATATCAAGTTATGATTTAAACATTCTTTACTCAATTGATCTGTAATGTATGTACTTGTTGGTTGAGAGCCATATCGAGGATCCATAGGTTGGTTATAACCAACTGCAGCCATTTCATTCGCTAAACTTTGGGTAGGAGGTGGTTGACCCCACATTCGTCTCTGTAGTTGTGGTTGATCATGTAAGTAGAATTGAGACTGTTGCTGAGTATCTTGCAATTTAGATGTTAATGGATTCATTGGCGCCATTCCAAAACTCTAAAGAACAAGAAAGAAATACACATTGAAAAATAGTAAAATAAAATCAAACCATAAATGTGCACAATACATACTTGTAAATGTTGTTGACTTAGACTCTGTAATTGTTGCAGTTGTTGTTGCATTTGTTGTTGATGCTGTGTCATTAAGTGTTGCTGCTGTATCTGATTCTGCTGATTTGCCAAACGTTGTATATCGGCTTGTATTTCACTGAGGCTGTTATTCATTCTGCGAAAAAGTGTATGTCTATTCAAAAGGGGCCAGAAAAACTGAAAATCTACACATATGTTTTATGACGTGAACATAAATACTGACTGTGAAATGGATTGATGATACTGCTCAAGATCCATGTTCTCAATATCTGGTGTACGCCTTGTTTCAATAAACGGTGCATTACCATCATGTTCCAGCCATTTGTGTTCAACATCCCGAACATCCTCGCTAATTTCCTATAGTCATTGGTATAAATATGGGAAGATTATTTTAAAGGATGTAAATAGAACTTTCATCGATTCTATTGGTTTGGCATACACCTACAGGCAAATTTGCTTTATTGAAATTTTATTAAATTATTTATATACATACATATTTCATTTTAAGATGATATTAAGTTTTGTTGATGTGTATATAAATATTTCTATTGTAAGTACAGAGTTTACCTGTGGATGTACAATGTTTATATGGAAGGGCATTTAATGTAAATGAGGAATAAAAATAGTATTCAGATGATTATTTAATTTGAAAGTTTTATATATCTGATAACCAAAGATTTAAAAATAATTTATAAACCTTATTTTTATGTACTTGTTTAATTAATATTATAAATAATTGCAAATACTAAAATTGCCATGTTTATCACTTTTAGTTAAAGTAGCAGGTAGGATTACAGTTAACATAGATTAATTGCTACAATTAACTACTCAGTTAGAGATACGTATAAAACATTAAATCAATCCAGTTCAATGTATTCATACATACAATACATATTATTCCAAAATTAAGTTGGTTTTGTTGTTAAGATTTCTGTGCCAGAGAATACTTAGAACAGAAGTGTAAAGTACCACCACCACAAACAACAATTATAAAGATTCAAACACATTTCTATAATTCTGGTCCAGGGAGTGTTTAGTACTGTACCATGCGTTCCGAGAGCGATATTGTACAAACTGCACTGAAATGTGGGAGCAGAATGTCAAATTCATTTAAATACCACAGAATGCATTGGGACTGTTTCGTTTTCCTCTATGACTAATGTAAGCGACAAGAAGCAAACTGATTATCCATTGTTACGAACTCAAATAAAATTATCCTTCGATAAGAAATTATATCAAGCACATTTTCTATCTTACTTTGCAGCACACTATAGCATATTATTACTACTCCTGACATCTTTCAAATATTAATATAATTAAAAATAACTATTCAAAGTCTTTTACTGTATTCTTCGAAGCAGAAATACTAAAAAGTACAAAAAGAGAGTTAACGAATACTTAAAAGCCATACATAAGCATGTATGTATGTAGGTCTAGACAAATCAGCGAATCAGCAAGTATGTGTTTTGTTTTTAAATGTTCATCCGCATGGAACATTCTGTTAAAATATCGTACCTTGAGCGAGAAGGGTCTCTGTGGTTTTTCTTGAGGGGGTTGTTGGGTTACGAGGGTCGTCTCGGAAACACTTGTCGGGGTCTCCCCCGAAGATCCGGAGGTTACAGGAGTGGGGGGACCAATTTCAGCCGGACTGTCCCCCCCAGACGTTGACGAAGAAGGAGATTTAACCTTACCCTGCAACCAGCCCAAGCACCGTGCCTTGTTAAGTACTTGGAGTCCGCATATGGTGAGTCCGATATGTCACCAACCACCACACCATGGTCGGAGTTCTCCACAGTGAAATATACGTTACATTCAAGCACTAAATGCCAAAGCCAGTTCAAAGAATTGCAAATACTTCATTGCCAATGGCTTTATTCACTATTGCACCATTTCAGAACTTTTTTGAATTCTCATACTGCATGATATCTCCAACTCGAATGGAAGTATCTATAAGTATTCCTATTTGATTAATTAATCATTTTTTAAAGGAACTAAGGTGCTTTTATTGTTATCGACTAACTTCTGTGATGCAAAGAATCTTTTAGCTATAAACTACTTGTTAAAATATTATCTATATTTAAGAATTTTTTACAGCTTTTTATATTCTGATTATTAAAGGAAATTTGAATGTAACTTTTTTGGTAAGAAACATCTAATAACTAAATAAAGCATGCATACCACCACCAAATTAATTTAAACGTTACTTTTTGTCAATATACATTCGTATTCATGTTAACAATGGAAAGGTTTTATATATAAAAATATTTGGAAGCAGGAAAGCCAGAATGGCATTCAAAGAACTGATAGCCTATATTATCAAGTGTGTAGACTATATGTATATGTACATAATTATTTGGTATTATAATACAATTTTATTGCATCAGCATGCACTTACCACCAAGTACAGCTGAAAGGTGAGAAAGAAAAAGAATTACAATAGTATACAGCTGGCAATAAAGATTATTTGCATTAACCATAATTAGGCATCAAGATTATGTCGCATTTGCAACTACACACAAATTCATTACTTGAGAAGCTAACGATATATAAGAATAGATATTGGAAACAAAAACTGAATAAGTATCGAAAAAATATGCTGCATTTACCTGAAATAAAACATTATTATTGCAAGCTCGCTTGCACGCTACTTCAAATTAATCGAATATAGTAATACAGCCAGGTATGAAATTAAATAAAACACGTATGCAAATATACAATAAAATGTTCAACCGCATCAGAATCTAAATAAAATTTTGTTGCAGAAGAAAAAGAAACCGTTTAGTATTCAACTTACAATTATGCATTGCTCTATACTAAACACCCGTGGCTAAACTTCAAATACCTCATGGCTGTATTCAATGTTCTGTTTCTTTTTGATCAAATTAACAATCAATGGATTAGTAGTCGGTCTCATCGCGGTATTAGGTTTGATTACGTTTATGAAGTATTTACACTTTTGTCAATATCAATGAGGGAAACAAATCATTAAAGAGGCCATGAAAGTGATCTGGCTGAGACTCGATCATGAGGTCCAAAATGGAGAACGCGAACTCCGTGATCGTCAGTGTGAACATAATCGCGCGTTTTACCTTCGTGACAGCTTGCAAGAACGCGGCTTTTCCCACTTTTTGACGTTGTTTCGACATGACAACCTCCATTCTCCTCTTCTCGTTCTCTATGTGTCGCCGTTTCTCTTCCAGCTTCAATCTAATGTTATTCAGTTGCGATGCCATAATCGTGTTACCACCGTTTTCATCTGCTCGTACGAATTTCATTTATCCAGTCAGTAACGTTTCTCTTCACCTCGCCTCTACACTCTACATTCATCAACCAACAAATACATACCAGCAGAGTGTTGCTCCGCCTGCTGAGACTGCTGATTACTTTGCTGCTGCCATGTCGTCGTGTTCGGTAACGTGGCGAACGTCGTTTTCTTCTCTCCGTTCCCGTTACCGTTCGTTTGGCCATGCTTTTTGTTCGAAAGATTCGATTTAGAAGTGGTGTCCTCGCGTTCCTGTTCCGTGTAGGTCAGATTGATCCCCTTGTCCGAGCTTTGTCTGCTTAGGTTCGCGAAGCTTGCCAACTTGGACGTGTCTCCTTCTGAATTATCGTTATCACTGGAATGTAAAATCTGCTTGAGCGCGACGTTGTCCAAGCTGGAGTTCGAGGTTTGCCTTCTCAGTTTCGGTGGTTCTTCATTCCCGTATCCGTTGTCCGCGAGTATATGCTGAACACCGCTACCGTACACATCCTGAACGCTGGATCTGGCCGGTAACGTGGGCTCTGTGGTGCTACGTTTGCCTATGTGAGCTCCGACCTCCTTGTCCGGATTTCTACCGAAGTTATGTAAATTATCCTGCACAGATAAACGCTGTCACTCAACTAATTCCTCTTTACGCTCAGCTCTGACTTTACCTGAGATCCACCAAAGTTCTCGATGGTCAGTTGAGAATCGTCCGAAACGCTGTTACGCCTGGATCGTCGGCCTGCATAAGAGCTTCTTCTCTGTTCTTCCCAGTTGCTCGGCCGACCAGCGGCGTCTGCTCTAGTTACAGATTTCTCGTCTGCCACGGAGCTTAACGTAGGAATGCCCTTACCCCGATGGACTACGAAACTTTCTTCGCTTCCCGCTCGTCTGAAACGTGAACGCTAGTTAACGAAACGTGAACATGCTGCAGACGAATCTGTAACGCGTGAGAACTTCGTCCGCTTGCATCTAACTTAGATACTAATTAGGTCTTTAGGAGGACTTACTTCTTATGAGTGATACAGTCTGTTTAAAATAAACGCAGACACCAAATACATGCTGAAATCTGATTACTCGGTATCTTCTTCTTAGGAGGAAGTAGAACCTACATTCAGGATGCGTGTAATTACACATTGTAGTTCTTTTATTTTCATTGCTTAGAACAAAAAATCATATATGTGCTGATGATTGTGAGAGTGGTGTAAGTAAAAATTCTAAAAAAAATTAATTTTTCTTCGACAATGTGATTAACAAAATAAATTAAGTCTAAGTTTCGTTCAACCATATGATTTATTTCATTATGAATTCACTTTATAAATATTTTTAGATAATTCTTCCACAGTTTAGTGAAAGTAATACAAACAAGTGAAGCATTCATAATCATGTGCATGTAATAGGTTGCTACAAGTGGTTGATTTTAAAGGAAACTGATCAAAGAAGTAATTGGAATAAAAGTACCACAAGGTACTATAAAAGTTTAATCTTTGGTCTACTCTTTTTTGAATAAATTGATTGTCAGAAAATTACCTAAATGATTACGTTGTATAATACGCAACAGAATTTCGTATTAAGAATATTAATAAAATATTTGTGATGGTGTGTAATTGTGATAATGGTTTTCATGAACAAAGGCTGTTTCTGAATACAGATTTTCATATTAACAAGAGGACTTTACGATCTTTGAATCTCATTAAAACTTTGACCAATTACAGAGAACGAGATAATTAATACTTCCACAAAAGCACAGTGTGCAACTCTCCAATGCAGAAATTTACTAAATATTTGTAATTTATATTTCATTGTTCGAGAGTAAGTACTACCAATTTGGTGGAAAATATACGTTAATACGATTTTCTGATAAAACCGTCAGTTCCAAGTGTGTTTTAAAACATACTTCACAAAGGAAGCTACCTTCAAAAGTTCAAAAAATCGCTAAAACAAAAATACGTGAAATTAAAAGATACAGAGGTAAAAAGAACTGAATATACTAGGTTAGAGTAGTACAAAGATGTTTTTTGTAAATACGAATATCTTTCTTATGTATAAATGAAAAATTTCATCTTTTGAGTCTCACAAATATACTCTCTTAGAACATAGTAAAACATAGTTAGACAGTTCATGAGTTACGAATTGTAAATTACGATTAAAATTACAGTAGCACATAGTAGAAATGTTTCAAAAGCTTTGAAATGTTTATGAACATTATCTTTAATTTTTACCCTAATTACATTAGTAATATCAATATAATAGTGAATGTTTATTTCAAACAGACTGTACCATGTTTAACAAAAATTTGTAAGATATAAAACGCTGCTGACTATAATTATACAGATTAATACTGCTAATTGAAAATGAATATTTGTTACATATACAATACTATTCAATTTGAATATAATTTAAAACCGTACCTGTCATCGTGAGAATAATTTTCGGCAGTTTGTTGCAACGATTGCGACTTCTTGACGGCGGAGGACGACGGTGCTTTCGCAACTAGAAAACAATTCAATCCTGTATCGACTGTTTACCCACATATTTAGCAAATATTATCAGTATCTAATTCAGCACATTAATTTTGACGCGTGAAACGGTAAAAAATTGAGAAAGATCCCATCATCGGTGCGAATCTTTAATTTTGCATGAAACACCACAAATTCGTGTGCGGCACAGAACTTCAGATTATCAAAATTTAATGTGACGTTCTTTCAATGCCCACGAATTTCAGGATCAAAATCTATTGCACGAAAGCTCGTGTTATGCACTGTGATAAAATACACTCGTTTGGTGGGCAGAAGATTCATTAACCCCTTGCTTTACGACAACGTAAAATTTATGTTTCAATTTCAAATAGAGTTCCACCGTGTACTGATTTTTACCTGTTCTGGTATTTAATCCCTTAGATTTATGTCTATCTGGTATTTAATCTCCCAGATTAACGTCTACCCTGGTATGTAATCTCTCAGATTAATATCTATCCTGATATTTAATCCCTCGGATCTATTCTGGTTTACCAGATTTTCTTGTAATTAAGAAATGAATACAGCAAAGGGTTAATGCTACACAAACTAATCTCTAATGTTTCTAATCGTCGTGTCACGAATGAGTGACCCATTCAAATTAAAAATATAAAAATAAAGGTAGAACAAAAAGTTCACTGAGACACACACAAAACACAAAATAAAAACCACGCAATAACATAGATAATGTACGTTGCAAAACAAGTATACTAACTGAATATGGAGTGGATATATTAATGAATCGTCCAGACATCTCTCTTTGTCGCTCAACGGCACAAGGCAAAAAGGTAAACGTGCAAAATGATGGAAATAAAAGGAAAGCGAACGACAACGCAAGCGGCAACTGAATGTTTAATAAGTAAGTAACGGTTTATCGCAAAAACGTGCATGCATTCTCGCCGAGAGGATCAGTTACGTGCCATGGTGTTGAATATCGAGCAAATAATATCGTTAGTAAAGAAGCGGTACGCCTAATCGTATCTGCGACTCGTTGCACAGCTAAATCTAAACGTGGGGGTCACATTTTAAATGCGCAACGCATATTTCGATCCTCCATTACGGCCGATGATTCATTCGTCTTTTTTTCGACATCGGAGCGACAAATATCCGTGGCATTTAAAATCGAGTGACCAACATGGAAACCAACAAACTAAAAAATGATAAATAAATAAAAAAAAGAAGAAGAAGAAAGAGCCAAAAAAGAAACAACACACATCGAGGAACGAACGAACAAACTCGAGAGGTAGTTGTTCCCTCGGAAGACCTGAACGATGTATTTTATTTAAATCTGTGTCTTTTCAGAACGTTTATACAACAAAATTAACACGTCATTCTTATTTTTTTGTTGTGGCGAGTAAACGCGATTCACAAGAGAAGACCACCTAGTTTTCATGATTTGGTTTGGTAACGTATGGGTACCTGTGAAGCCTGGCGCGGATACGGAGAGGTTGCTTCTCAGATCAGGTATCGGAGCTATAGACTGTGGTAGACTTCTTTTATGAGCTACGCCATGACTATTGCGCGGGCAGGCTGCACCCGTCACCGGCACCGTATTCGTTCATTGGCAACCGGAAGTTGACGAAAGAAGAAGGCGAGGATAGCGTTGGTTGTCAAGCATCAAGAAGGTTACGCCATAGAAATATATGGAAATATTACAGTTTTACATTACAAGTGATATCTTGAGTTTTTTTTGGTTTAAGTTTTACTTGGAGAATTGCTGCTCTTTATCGTATCACGTCACCTTTTCTTAATCAAACTCTAGATCAAACATTCAGAAGAAGAATAAGGTAAGTAGAGTTAACGCGTATCGTTAGTCGCTGCTAAAAGGACCTGGATCTCGAGACTGGGAACGAGTGTGTGTACTGACACTGATAAAAAGCGTGATATACCGTTCCGACCGCGGCCAACCATTTTTACGCTATCGTTTTGATAATTTTATGGTTAAGTAAGCAGATAACGGACGTTCCTCCGATCGAAGATTTATGAGGTAAGGTCGGGCTTGATATTGAAATGTAATAAATCGTGAGGCGATAGATATTTCATGTTCGACCTTATTTTCTTCTCAATTCTGGGGATATGGGTCGTGGGATTTTTGAGATCTTTCAATTTTGGATTTTTGAGGCTTTGCAGTTTTAAAATTTCAGAGTTTTAGGATTTTGGGAATTTTGAGTTTGGAATTTTTAGGAATTTCAAATTCTGGATCTTTGAGAATACAGGATGTTGAAATTTGGAATTTTGGGGCATTGAAAATTTCAAAATTTTAATTTTTAACACTGGAAATTTCAAATTTTTAATTTTTGTAATGGAGAATTTCAAATTTTTAATTTTTAAAGTGCAGAGTTTTAAATTTTTTAATTTTGAAGTGGAGAAGCTCAAATTTTTAATTGTTGTAGTTGAGAATTTCAAATTTTTAATTTTTGGAGTGGAGAATTTCAAAATTTTAATTTTTGTAGTGGAGAATTTCAAATTTTTAATTTTTAGAGTGGAGAATTTCAAATTTTTAATTTTGAGACCTCAGAATTGTAGAGGTTTAAAAATTGAAAATTTTTTTATTTTTTTACTTCAAGATTTCTAAGTTATAGATTTTCGATGATTTAGACTCTGTAACTTTCGAATTTTTGAATCTCTAATTTATTATTTAAAAAATGGAAAATGTTTGAATTTGTACATGATATTTGAATTATAAATTTTTGAGTTTGAAAAGTGAAACCTTTTGTAATTTTCATATTTTGGAATTTCTATATTATGGATTTCTGAGGTATTGAAACTTTTGAACTTTTTAATTTTAAAACTATAGATCTCAATTTTATAAACTTTGAAATTTTACAATTTTTAATTTAAAAATTCTAAAATTTTGGAATTTGAGAATTGTGTTGTGAGATTTTGGAATTTTGGAATATTAGGATTCTGGAACTTCCTTATATAAACTTACACTATAAACAATTTACTGTGAAAAATTACAATTGTCAGAACATCCTGTCCACGAAAATCTAAATAATTCTACTATAGACAAACTATAGCAGGTACGTATTTTACATTGGCCGCAATAGAAACGGAATTCCATGGAAATAAAGTATAAAGTAAAAATAAATTATAGAACGGGTAAGTCCAATACAAGAATGTACGCAGCCTTCACCAATCACATTAATCCATGGATACCAAAATATTCATCAGCCCTTCCTGATCAAAGGGTGCGTTCATAGTGTCGAACAAATCTCTCCAAATACTTATTAATCGAGAATGTTCATTCAAATTTGTGTTCGTCAATCTACGTACCATCTAAGAATTGCATCGCCCTTTCTTCGCCCGGATAACGAACGCATTTCGCGGGATGTATCTCCAGAACGTTGTACATGTCCGCCAGGAATACGACTAAGTTTTGCTTCATTGACCTGATCACAGAAATAAGTTGCTTCAACTAGGGAAAACCTTAAACATACAGCATCATTGTGACCCACTGTGATATTCACTCACTCCTGACAATAACTAGTAGATTTTGTTAAACTTCTAAACCATGTTTATAAATTACAGAGAACGATTTTAGAATCTAAATATTGACTCAAATTTTGAATAGATTTATGGATTATTCATAACATAGTTACATTATTTTTCTCTATGCCTTGAGATATAGATTTTTTGTTAAATATATTTCTTTTTGAGTATCTGGTTATGGAAAGACACTGTTTTATGTATTTATAGCTGTTGTGTATTATATATTTTGAAATATAGTTTTTCTTTTATCATCATATTTCAAAAAATTAACCTTAAAATGTTGGACAACTTATTTATCTTTATAAGTTTTTCATTTTCATTATCTATGATCTAAATTATTTTTTTCAATCTTACTTTTCTAATATGCTTTAACTTTAAGAGTATAACATGTTAAAAAATATTTAACATATAATTCTTATAAATTTCTACAAATTTGAATTATCTAATAATTAGTACAGATCACTTCATATAAAAAGCTTTTATGTTGAAACATAAGAAATTTAAAAATTCATTTATATCCAACTTTAACATCCAAAAACCGTTCTTTTCCACATAAAAGTCTCGAGACATCCTCAGTTTGCTTCATTATATTTAATACTATTTTAGATTTCTGAACGCAGCTTTTTCATACATCAAAAAACATTGATAAAAATTTCCTTGTCAATACAAGTTATACTTAGAGACCTCAAATAGTGTTAAGTATGAAAGTGTTAACCCATTCGCAATAGTACTATTATCATGTGCATAATACAGAGTGTTTCCTCTAACGCTACGCATGATTTTTCATTCACCTGTGCTATCTGATGAAAAAATATTTGGACGAAGAGCTGCAGGGTATAGAGTGTATAATCAATATCAGCTGAAAAACAATTGAAAAACACTTTGTTGTCATGGCGAAATCGAGATCATCTCGGATTAAACAAATAAGAATACATATTATTTGCATCATATTAAAGAGTACATCGACATGAATTCAAACATGATATTTTTATTAACATAATAAGATAACAAAGCATCTAACACAAGCCAGTTAAATATCTTTATTACTCTTGTTGATAAAAAAAGAAATATCAGTGTAAACTTATTTTGTGCCGAAGAGCACATCACTTGACACAAATTATTTATAAATGAATAGATCATGTCAAGATAAATTCTTTTTTTAAAACGGAATAATATATTTCTTATGTAACATTTAATAGAGTTTTAAGATGGACACAATAGCTTATGATTTGTAATGGACCTAATCTTGAATAATTTTAAATAAACGTGACCTATTGTACGTGATATAAAACTCTACTAAATGGTATAAAAGAATATATAATTCCATTTAATCCCCTGAACGTAGAAACTTTGTTTCAGTATTTAAAATTGAACATTTTGTTTTAAATTTAAAATCAGGAGGGACAGATTTGTGCTAAAAATCACTACGTTGACTTTCATATGACTTCTATGTCTCCATCTATCAAGAAACTATTTGTATCAAGTTATGCCTCCTCTGACACCAAGTTTGGTCTGACACTACCGTCAATAACGACTGAAATATTCAGCTGGCCTGTTTTAGACACGCCACTCTGTATTATGTTCTTATTGCATTAAATATGGAGTTGCAACAATAGTTCGTCGCCACAGATATTGTTTAGTCTTCAGAAGTATCTTATTCCTTTAATAATCGATTGCTTATTGCTTAGTATTGATTACTCATATTTTTACCATTTAGTAATTGCTTATTACTTATGTTATTGTTGTAGGATACAACTGTCATAATGAATCAATCGTCAGCACTTAGTTTAAACCTAGCACTATCATTACAACTTCTGTCAAATACAGAAAGATGCATACTAAATTTAGCTTAACAATTACAATTGTCACCTCTATTTTGTTACAATTTCTTATTATTCATTTCTTTATGACCAATGATATTTATTACTTTTACAACATGAAAGTAAGATTCGCCCACCACAAGATGGGCCCTGGTAAAATACCAAAAATGCGACTGTGACTGTTAACACAAAAATCATGTTCCTTGTTTTGCACATATATTATATTTCAATCAAAGTAGTCACACACACTATAGGTTTGTATCTCAATTCCTAGATCTCATGTTGTGGCAGGCACACATTTATTACAAATGGGTTAACTTTCAGACCTAACACCGAACCCTGTGAGACAAATGTTTGACAACGTTTGTGCTGACAACATGGATGTGCCCCTACACAGTCTAGATTTACACTTAACAGGTTACAAAAACTGGTCCCTGTTAATCTCGTTCATTAAATCCACCTCGCGGCTTCTTACCCCCTCATGTACGTCACGTCCTCGGGTTGCATGTGAAAAATGGAATACGGTAGGCATCTGTTACAAAACGCGTGGACCAGCGACAAATTGTGCAACGCGTCCGCGACCGATGGTCTCTTCGACACTCGGATGTCCATCCAGTTCAGTTCTCCGGGACAGTAAAACGCCACGACGGCGGCTAGGCCCACACCATCGCACAACGATTGGAAGTCCTTGGCAGCTGGCAGCTCTGGCAGTCGGGTTTTGTCGCCGGCACCCTCCTCCGTTTGGATTTTCGCAATCAACGCGTGGGACGCGTGACTTATCCAGAGAAGAAGTCCCTTTTCATGGTCCGTTGGAACGTCCACTTCGGCCTGGGGATCGAACCGTCGAATCGCCGACACCACTCTATCTCCTGTCACCACCTCCTTCGCGTACAGGACCATCAGGCCCTCTATCACAGCCATATGCGCGGACTGTAATGGGTACAAGTCAATCATTAATATATTAGGTAGGTTTAATTGGAAGGTTAAGTAGATGAGTTTGGTCAGCATGTCGTACAGATGGGTTTGGTCAGTAGGTCGTACAGATGGGTTTGGTTAGTAGGTTGCACAGATGGGTTTGGTTAGTAGGTCGTACAGATGAGTTTGGTTAGTAGGTTGCACAGATGGGTTTGGTCAGTAGGTTGTATAGATGGGTTTGGTCTGAAGGTTATATAGATAACTTTGGTCAGTAGGTTGCACAGATGGGTTTGGTCTGAAGGTTATATAGATAACTTTGGTCAGTAGGTTGCAGATATGGGTTTGGTCTGTAGGTTATATAGACAATTTTGGTCAGTAGGTTGCACAGATGGGTTTGGTCTATAGGTTATATAGATAACTTTGGTCAATAGGTTGCACAGATGGGTTTGGCCTGTAGGTTACATAGATAACTTCGGCCAATAGGTTGCACAGATAGGTTTGGTCTGTAGATTATATAGATAACTTTGTTCAGTAGGTTGCACAGATGGGTTTGGTCGGTAGATTATAAAGATGGATTTGATCAGTAAGTTATAAACATAAGTTTGGTAGGTTATATAGATGAGTTTGGTCAGTATGTTACAAGGATAAATTTGGTTGTCAGGTGGTGGGTTTGGTGAATAGATCACACAAATGGGTTTGCTCAGTAGGTCATACACAGATGACTAATAGGTTATACAGAGCTTATACATAGGTGTATAAATGGTTTAGTCAGTAGGCTATATACATGCTTTGTTAGGTGGATTAGGTGAATGAACCTGGCCAGTTGGCTACATAGGGAGGTTAGGCAGGTAGGTTAAAAAGACAAAAATTTCAAATTTTTTAAGGTAATTCCCAGCTTCTAAATTTCCAAATTTTTGGACACCCAAATTATCCAAGTTTCAATCTCCAAATTTCCACATTTTTAAGATTGTAATTTTTCTAAGTACTAAATCTGCAAATCTTCAAATTTCAACCTAGTCCACCATGAATAAGTAAAATTGCAGATGCTAAATTTGTAAGTATGAGAATCCTACTACACCTTAATCGAGAGTGTCAATTTTCAGACACCTTTCACTCAGACGTGCCAATTTTCGGATATACCTTACTCAGGAGTGTCAATATTCGAAAGTACTTTACTAGGAAGTGCCAATCATCAAATGCTTCACTCGGAAGTGCCAATTTTCACAAAAAGCTTACTAAGAAATTCCAATACTAATCGCCTTACTTAACAAAATTTGTACACTCAAAATTACATCCAAATTTTTATTTTCATGAATGCCCTGTTTGAAAGAGCCAATTTTGAAAAGCGTCTTAAACTCATCAACTTTCAGAGGAACCTACGGAGATCTCAATCTTCAGAAGTGCTTTACATGCAAATAGCAATTTTCACAAATTGGAAATTCTCAAACACACTTTATTGAAGATGTCAATTTTAAAAGATGGTTTAAGTTCTTGACTGTTCTACAAGAATATTCTATTAAAAGTTTTATTCAAATTGCGAGATGATTGATATTGCGTGGTAGAAACAGTGTTTCCTTTTAAAATTGAGTACGTTATTTTCTTACCATTTTAAGTGGTGAATTTTGAATGAGGATCGTTTCGGTGAGTTGAGTGTTGTTTGGTTCCGCGAGGTAAACGCCCTTTCTGGCAAGAGCTTGCAGAATTCCACAATGATTCTGATTATGATAATTTGGATCCGAATAGATGTTTGCCAATGCCAAACAGTAGAGCTCTGCATTGGAAAGTGCGTGGACGATCTGCGGCTTCAGGTGTTCTTGATCCTTTAAAACAAAATTTATTCGTTAATTTACATACTTGATCTTCTAAATGAAAATTTTGCAAACGTAAATACTTGTCGAACGTGAACTAACATTTTACTTGAAACTTCGTTTGTTAAGCAAGTTTCATATTCGTTTGTTAAACATTTTTAACCTTCGTCCATTATGGGTTAGATATGTTATATGCATGATGCAGTTTATATTTTTAATGCATGCGTAGTGTTGCTTAATCATTGTCACTGTTACATATTTATTAAGGTGGTCCTTGTTTGTATTAACTCTCTATTGCATTGTAGTGCAAATATACGATGCAAAATAATATACTATGAAATTGTACTTTGACAATTATTTACAAAATAAGTTGCATAATTTCATATTGTTATAAAAAATAAAATTATATGATTAAATTTTAAATTTTAGTTTTTTATTTAATGAAGTTGTATTTTATCAAAATAAATTGCAAAACTTTATAAACATATAATTACTAAAATTATACGATTTTGTAGTACATGAATAAAATCGTATTTTGACAAAATAAATTAAACAATTTTATATCATAATTAATTAAATTCTATAATTTCATGGTATATAATTTAAAGCAATTGCATTTTATTCAAATAAATTCCAGAATTTCATAATTTGATAATTAATGAAATTATACTTCATAGTAAATTATTTAATTGAACGTATTCTATTAAAATAAATTGCATAATTTGATAATGTCATAATTAATAAAATTTTGCAATTTTATAGTACAATATTTCATGAAATTGTATTTTATCAAAATAAATTGTATAATTTCATAACATTATAATTAATAAAGTCATCAAAAACATTTCTCATCATATGTAATTAAAACATTTTGTTATACCTTCTCAAAATATTACAAATTTGCAGTATAATTCTTCTAAAGAATTCGACAAATAAAAAATGATAATGTTTCGTACTTGCATTATAAGCGTTAACTATGAGAATTCTAAATTTTGTGTTGTTTAAAAGAAAAGAGAATCATGTAACAAAAGGTTAAAAAATAACAATGGCTGACAACCCTACATCGCGTTGCATAAATATTCCAACCCCCTTTGTCCTTATTCATGCGAGTTCACGCCTGCAAATTTAGCCAGTATTCTTCAAACATTAATTCGTAGTATGATGCAAATTATACGTAAAAAATTTGACATATTAACATAAATATAAGAAGTTGATGTATTAGCATGAATATCGTTATATACAAATATTTAATGTATTAATATAAATATCATCATATATGAAAATTCCATGTATTAACATAAATATCATCGTATACAAAAATTTAACATATCAATATTTTATCTTCTAACCTTCATAAATAAATCTTACAAATGTAAAATGAAACAAGTCTAACACAATGAATTTATTTACTTATAAGGTTCAATTGACGTCAACCTAAAAAGAATATACAAGATTGATATACTAAAGAAATGTCAAACTTATTAAGCTTTTATTTAACCCAGCTAAGTATTTGCGTTAATACCTTCCCTTTACACAGTTTATTGTTTATACACTTTAAATTGGTATTTATCATACGTAGAATATGAATTAATGTATACAGATACAAAAGTTCCAATGGTGTCTCATAGCTAAAATTAGTGGTGGTGCCACAGCAGAAAATATTTGTCTGTTATTTTGAAATTATGTAAAAGGAAATATTCGCTCATATCAAATCTTTACTGCATAAAGACAAAATTGAAGAAAATAAGACTAGTACTAAATTGAAGAAAAAACGACACATATAAAATTTTATCGATATCATTAAGTAGAGATAGGGGATGCAATTCCACAGCGTGTATACAGGAGCCACTCAAATCAGTGCAAATACGAGGGGTTGTTATATCCATGTAAAGCACTTGAGAACGTCAGTTTCTGTCCTCGGAAACAATTTCCTTTATTGTAGGTAACGGTGCACATAAACAAAATGACGTTCTTTTCAGAGAAAGCAACCTTTGCCTGGGGAAATCAGATTATGTCAAAACAGATCTGCCCGTAGAGGCACAGTTTGAAACACAATACCCGGAGAGCATAGGTTGGCCGCAACCGCATAAGAATATCCGGCAGACGCGACAAGCAAATATTAGTATTCCGTAATTTCCGGTGCGGGGCACGGAAACGCGAAGAACTCGAGACGATGCATCGTGGTAACGGAAATACACGGGGACACCGTGAACGATCGCAAAATATAACATGCACCATGGATCGAGAGCAAAAAAGCCGTCATCATGTCATTATGGAAACAAACTGTTATCAAGTATGGACAATGAATCGATGATCTGAATACAGGGGGTATATGTTCAAAATTAGTATTCTTGAATATGTGATTAATAAAAGATGACTATTATTTCTTTTCAAGAATACAAGAGGACTATCATTTTTACTTAATAATACAAAATGACTATCATTTCTTCTCAGAAGTACAAAATGACTATTCCTTTCCTTAAACGATAAAAAATGGCTATCAAGTTTCCTTAGCAATGTAAAGTGACTATTGTTTCTCCTCAGCAATGCAAAATGACTATTATTTTTTCTTAATAATACGAAATGACTATCATTTCTTCTCAGAAGTACAAATTGACTATTACTTCTCTTAAACGATAAACAATGGCTATCAAGTTTCCTCAGCAATATAAAGTGACTATTGTTTCTCCTCAGCAATGCAAAATGACTATTATTTTCCCTTAATAATACGAAATGACTATCATTTCTTCTCAGAAGTACAAAATAACTATTGCTTCTCTTAAACGATAAAAAATGGCTATCAAGTTTCCTCAGCAATGCAAAATGATTGTCACTTATTCTCAGCAATACAAAGCGACTACCACTTCTCATCCATACAAAATGATTATCATTTTTCTCAGCATTAAGAGGTGCCTATCATTTATCCACAGCAAAGAGGAACTGGTATGAATCATGTTTCGATGAACATGACCGAATACAGGTATGAATGAATCACATAATTTCGCTCTAAACCGTCTTAATGAAAGATTAGAACTGGTTAAAAGATAGAGTATAAAGCTTTGTATATTGTAATGCACTATAAATTTTCGAAATTTTTTCGTACGAAAGTTCAGAAATTTTTCGTTCGAATAAATACGTATCCCATCATACTGTCAACATGGTGATATATTCGAAAATGAACGTATCATCGAATTTTGAAAATATAATTTCAGGAATTTCCTCGAGGCATGGTTTACCCAGATGTTGGAAAACTAGATCTCGTATTCCAAGATGCCTTTACCTAAATCACCAAGTTGAGACGGATCTAAGCGTAATGCGGAAACTCGTTTCTCCCTTTACGATTCTGCCTTGCTAGGGAAAAGAAATTGGGACGACGCTGATGTTTTGTCGGTCAGTCGAACTGCGATCGAAGTAGGTCTAACTTCACAAGAACGTGTTTGAACGACCAGTTTTATGTTTAAATGCATAGTCCGCTTTATTTTTTGTTTATCATTCTCATTTTAAACCATATATGAACGTGCGTTGAACTCGTTAAATCACGTTACGCCGATTTCATTATAACACGGAACAGTTGATTCTAAAGACATTAGGTTGTTTTAAGATTTGAAAGATACTATGTAGGTATCTGTAGACTTGGAAAACATACTAGTTTATAGTTGTTAATATTTACTTACAAATGCTTAAATTTATTTAAACTTAAATGCTGATTTTAATTTTATAAATTTATTTTTAAATAAATAGGATAAAATTAGTTAGTGACATATGTTAGGATAGAAATAAATGATATATTAGGGACTTAGAATTTATTTTCCTATTGAGGGGTGGTCAACTTTTTAATTTGTAAATTTCTTACTTTTCATATCTACAAATTCTTGTGTTCTCAAATTTTCTAATTATCAATCTTTCAAAATTTCTAAATACCAGACCATCAAATTTTCAGATACCATAATTCCTAGATATCCAAACTCCTAAGATTTCAAATTAAAACCCCCTAATCCTCAAATTCCAACTCTCCAAATTCCAATATTAGAAAGCCCCCAAATTCTCAAATTTCAACTCTCCAAATTCCCATATTTGAAAGTCCCCAAATCCTCAAAATCTAACTCTGTAAATTCCCATATTTGAAAGTCCCCAAATCCTCAAATTCCAACTCTCAAAATTCCCATATTTGAAAGTCCCCAAATCCTCAAATTCCAACTCTCCAAATTCCCATATTTGGAAGACTCCAAATCCTCAAATTCCAGCTCTTCAAATTCCCATATTTGAAGGTCCCCAAATCCTCAAATTCCAACTCTCAAAATTCCCATATTTGAAGGTCCCCAAATCCTCAAATTCCAACTCTCCAAATTCCCAAATCCTCACATTTCAACACTCGAAATTCCCATATATGAAAGTCCCCAAATCCTTAAATTCCCAACTCCGCAATTTCTCATATTCTAACGCCCCCAAATTCTCAAAGTCCCATGTCCTCAAAATTTCAATATTCCAAAGTCCCCAAATCCACTAATTCCCAATTCCCCAAATATCCAAGCTGCCAAAAGCTCGAAACCCTCAACTCCGACTTGGCAACTACTCACATTTCGAAAGAATTAACATAATGGAAAAAGTTGAAGCGTTCTCATAACGAGCATAGTCCGTATTTCCCGCTGTGTATTGACTTTGGTCATTACGTATATATACGACATATCCACTTAAGGGATTTCAATGGGCTACCGGTTGTACGCAAGACGTCCAATTAAATCTGCTCTTGATCCATAAAAAAAAAGTTGGCTCGAAAATCGTGTTTACGTAAAAACCTGCAAACAATAAATAAGGAAATCGGTACTGTTAAATAACTAGAAAGCATTATGTAGGAACGGCATTGCTTTTCAATTAATTCCAACCATGTAATCACTTAGTACGAAGAATTTCACTTTATCTCCATTCATTAATCTTATTTACTGACAATGAAAAGCGTCTAATTCGTTCGTAAATATGTGAGGTATTAACAAGGTCAAAAGTAGAGGTGCTGT